TTGTTCGGAACTTGTATATATGCGCTTTATCTTGAAAATGTCGTAAGCGAGATTCAGGCATCTGTCAATTATCTTGCGTTGTATGATGGCTACCCGCCACATCACTCCCCTCCGAGACTGGAGGTCGTGTCATATTTTAGTTATCGTTGTCCGTGCTGAGATTAGCTTGCAAGTGCCAGTGCTGCTCGAAGTTTGCGGTGAGTCGAAACTGAGCTTGAATGCTGCGTGATTGTCGCCAGTGCTGCTCGAAGTCTGCGGTGAGTCGAGACTGAGCTTGAATGCTGCGCGATGAGGCAGTGTAGGTGCGTGCCGTAGGGCCAGGAAGCGCGGTGAGTCGGCTGCGATGGTCCTGTTGAGGCTGCGATGCTGGCTTGCTGTGGGACGACTGTCGATGACTTGCTTTTATCTGCGAGAATGCGGGGATTGTGGTAGCCGAAGTTCTTGATGCGCTGATGATGAATCAGAAGGTTGCGTGTTCACATCACGTCGGGGTCACCAGTTTGGGGAGATGTACGACAAGGGGAAGATCTTCCACCGAGCGGATGATATTGCTCGGTAGACCGACGGTCCTAATGTTGTTGTTCGGAACTTGTATATATGCGCTTTATCTTGAAAATGTCGTAAGCGAGATTCAGGCATCTGTCAATTATCTTGCGTTGTATGATGGCTACCCGCCACAATACATAACAGTAATAATAGTAATATAATATGTAAAATACAATTGAGGAAAAAAAATCACCCCCCCGGAGAAAATATAAGTAAATTGTAATTTCTTGTTATTTTATGATTCATATGATATTTTTCTTGTATTATTAGACGAAAAAACTAGTTTAATTTTATATATAGCCCCTTAAAAATATTTTTTAATTTAATTGTTTTGTTTTGGAAAAAAAAAACGGTTTTATTAGACTTATTTTTCGTTTCATTTCGTTTCATCGAGTTAAAAATCACAACGATTGTAAGGAATTTCATTTCCACCCTCCCCAATTTTTTACCCCCATTTGGGGTGATTTACTCCGATTTCCCGACCGCTGCTCTCTACACAGACGTCCTGCGCCTTGCTTTCGCAGGAGCAGCTTGGGTACATAGTCGTCAGCGGTGTCCGTCGTGCTAATGGCGTCCAAGGGTTGAGGGTCATAGTCCAGGGCGACAGGCACCCCCGCTACCTGGAGACCAGGATAGAAGCCTTCATCGGCAATGCTCAAGTGAGTATCGCGTACGACGGTAAGAGCGACGCCGTGTATCATCATATTTCACCCCTCGATATATATTTTATGATAACTGCGGGTAGTACATATATCGTCTTTTCGCATTAAAAGTTTACAATTTCCAAAAATATTCGAAATTGACTTAATCTCGAGAATCATTTGGTATCCACCAGTATTTTTCTCATAAATATTGTCAAAAGAGCGTAGTTTAGTTTTAGTTTTTTTCTTATTTTACCTATGTTGATGTTAACTGATAATAACTACTATAACTAATTTCATGATAACTGCGAGTAGTACACAATTTTTTTTGTCATTACTTGATTTTATTGGTGAAATCGATTTTAAAGAACCGTCATTAAATTTCTAAGAAAGTTAATCGTAAAACAAACTTAATTATATATGTAGAACTATAAGCGAGCGTTTCCTTCCAGGAGTATTTAGAGAATATGAAGAACGAAGAGTTCTTGAAGTTCCGGTCGGCGCTGGCTGCCCGGAAACTGGAGAAGGCGAAGCACATCGGGGAGCGGGCCACGAGGTTCTGGTCCGAGATAGCGACGCAGGTACCGCCCCTGACACTCACTCTACCTCTGACACTCTCACACTAATACTCACTCTCTCTACCCCTGACACACTTTCCCCCCTAACGCTCGCTCACCCTCTGAGACCTTCTCCCGCAGGCACTCGCACCTGACACTCACTCTCCCCCTGAAACTCTCTACCCCTGACAGTCTTTCTCCCCCTGAGATACACTCATACGCTGACTCTCATTCTCACACTGACACTTACTCCTACGCTGCCACTCACTCTCGCACTGACATTCACTATCACCCTGAAACACACTATCGTCCTGTTCCTCATTCTACGCTTGACACTTACTCTACACCTGACCCTAACTATACCGCTGACATTTACACGTACCCTGACACTCACACTCCTTCAGAGACTCGCTCTCCCCTGAGACTCGCTCTCCCCTGAGACTCGATCTCCCCTGAGACTCGCTCTTTCCCTGAGACTTACTCTCCCCCTGTGACTCGCTCTTTCCCTGAGACTCACTCTCCCCCTGAGACTTACTCTCCCCCTGTGACTCGCTCTTTCTCTAAGACTCACTCTCCCCCTGTGACTCGCTCTTTCCCCGAGACTCACTCTCCCCATTACTTTCATTCTCTCCCTGACACTGACTCTCCCCATGACACTCTCTCTAAGACCCTCACTCTTTCATGACTCTTTCTCGAATGTCACTCATTCACCTGACGCTCTTTCTCACCCTGACCCTACAAGGGCAATAAAAAATAAGCTTTACACTCCCGCCCAATGAATATTTAACGTTTTACAGATGTACAACTTTGATCGCGCGACTATTGAAGTGGAGCAACTAAACGCGGTCACTCAGCAGGACCTCATAGAGTACTACAAGGTATGTGCGCGTCGTGGTGTGGACCGTGGGCTCGTAAGGAGGCCACAGCTCAACATACATCTTCATGCTTTCATTTAATTGAAGACATGATTGAATGAAAGTGTTATGTCCTGTAAACCATATTAGACCTTAAAACTTGGGTCTTGAAGGCTATTTTTAGAAAATTAACAAATTGTATCATATCCTCTTCAGTTTGAGAAGGCGGCACGACATGAGAATCCTCTCGTCGTGGCCGCCGGTAATTACATACCGGATCCTGTGGACCGAATGGTAAACAGTCGACGTCGCCCTAAACACGTCATTACGGATCCTCCCGATCCACTAACGNCATATTAGACCTTAAAACTTGGGTCTTGAAGGCTATTTTTAGAAAATTAACAAATTGTATCATATCCTCTTCAGTTTGAGAAGGCGGCACGACATGAGAATCCTCTCGTCGTGGCCGCCGGTAATTACATACCGGATCCTGTGGACCGAATGGTAAACAGTCGACGTCGCCCTAAACACGTCATTACGGATCCTCCCGATCCACTAACGGTGCGTTTAGGTACCTTAAGCACTGGTCATCGAGAGAATTAACCCAACCACTACCACCCAACCCAGAATTAACCCGCTGAGTTTCTCGCCGCTCTTCTCAGTGGGTCGCGTTTCCGATCCGGTGGTAGATTCTGCGAAGCACTGCTCTTGCTAGGGTTCGTGTTAGCAACACTCCCGGTTTGAGCCCCGTGAGCTCACCCATACGTCAAGGAGAAGCTGAAATAACTTCTCAAGGCTATCAAAATATCCTCTTCATCGACTCGTGTCTTCAATTATCAACGTCCTCCGCCCACTAGTGCCGTACGAGGCATCAACAATAAGACTACATGTCTTTAGCTACAATTCGAATCTGAGTCTGTGGTAACGTGATGACGTGGGGTAGCGCGGGTGTGGGAGAGGGGGAGATGGAAGGGGGGTCCACGGCTAATTTACTCGCCGAGCCCTTCGTCGCAAGCTACGGCTTCGACAAGGAGGATGCCCGGTGCTTGTGGTACCTAAAAGCACCGTTAATGGATCGGGAGGATCCGAAATGACGTGCTTAGGGCTTGCAATTGATGACGTTAATGCCGCTACAGACTTTCATCAAAGATGAGTCTTAAATCTCAATTCAATGGCTGCTCTACCCTTCAAACCAGCTGGTAATGTTACGCGGTACAACGCGCCCCCCAGCTAATAAGGCGGTACCCTCTCGGCCTCCATCGGTCATCGCGGGGCCGGATAAAAGGGGACAGGTCACAAACGCCCCGACCCCCTCGATCTATCTGATTGTTACAGAAACACATAAGTCCAAAGTCGGACGAGCGCCGGAAGCTGTCCGTGCACGTGGTGTCTACGGCGGAAGGCGGCGCCGGGCGGCTGACACCCGACAATGACACCGTCATTGACACCCGCAGCGACAGGCAGGTGAGTGTTGTGGAGAGAGGATGACAGATGTCAAATGACTTCAGTGATGAATTGTGGCGTAAATATGTGTTCCAGTTTGGAGAGGGGGGGGGTATAGACATCTACAATGTAAATGCGCCACCCACCTTGAGATATAAGTTTTAAGGTCTCAAGTAAGTTACAACGGCTGCCCCGCCCTTCAAACCGTAACGCATTACTGCTTCACGGCAGAAATAGGCGGGGCGGTGGTACCTCCCGCGCGGACTCACAAGAGGTCCTACCACCAGTAATTACGCAAATTTTAATTTAAATTTAGCTTCGACGTCACATCTCAAGTTGCTTGTGGACTCATAAGCCCACTTTATGAGGTGAAATACGTCATAAGACTAATTTTAATGATTAGTTTTCGACAATAAAGCAATATTGATGCGTGAATGTTTTATATAATATTGCTAGTCACTTGTAGCATATAGAAATGCTATTTTGGAATATTTATAAGGTGATTTAGTCTGATGAGTATTATGTACTTATTTTTATAGTGTAAGTTGATGTACATAATAATATGTGCGTATTTACTGGTGGTAGGACCTCTTGTGAGTCCGCAAGGGTAGGTACCACCAACCCACCTATTTCTGCCGTGAAGCAGTAATGCGTTTCGGTTTGAAGGGTGGGGCAGCCGTTGTAACTATACTGAGACCTTGAACTTATATCTCAAGGTGGGTGTCGCATTTACGTTGTAGATGTCTATGGGCTCCAGTAACCACTTAACATCAGGTGGGCTGTAAGCTCGTCCAACCATCTAAGCAATAAAAAAAAAAGTATTGTGTTGCTTTTGTGGAAACTTCAATTTCTAAATATCTCTTTTTTTCTACTTATATGTGATTTTGGATGGTGTTCGTTATTGTTTTAGCAATTTTTTTTAAATATTATGTGTTTGTGTTGTACTATTGGTTTCCCAAATAAATATTATGTAGAATAAAATTAAATTAAATTATGCCAAAATGGTCTAAGAAGCGGCATAAGTGTCGGAAATTTTAACATATCTAATTAAGAGGTCACATTGAATGTTAAGTTACAAAAGACCTGGCTGTATGTTTGTAGTTCCCGTTGCCAAAAATTTTTAAAGTTTTTTTTGTCTTTTGTTTCAGCCGATAATAGTGACCGATATCGTAGAGTTCAAATCTCGACGAGGACTGTACCCTCACCCGGTGCCCTTCATGAGCGTGCCGAGAAAGGGGGCTCACTGCAAACTGTGAGCACCCGTGACCCGACAGACGATCTTAGTTCATAATGAGATATAAGTAAAGAAATTTGTAATTAAAATGTTTGGGAACTTCATACTGGGTACATTAAGGAAGTAATGTGCCCGTCGCCTTATTTTGTATAAAGCCTCAACTGGCGGCGGCGTCGCATTGACATGTCAGTGGCATCGTCCAGTCGCTATTATGTAACGAATGCCGAGTTTAACAATACTAATATTTGTTCGCGTCAAGTTAAACATAGCTTGTGCGTTTTAGCCACAAATGACGTCACAGTGTTTCGGTACATTCTCGAACGCGTCAAAATAGGTGATCACAATTGTTGGTGATATGTATATAGATTTACGAAAATGTTAATAAATAATTAACGAATACAAAGATGATGTTTCATTTGTTAGTCATTAATACGCTTTTATTAGCTTTAGACGTATTTACCTATGTTAGTATGTAACGGAATCTTTGAACATGACTTTGATCCCCTTCAAAACGTCGGATTAACTCGAAATTTGGTATACTAAGAACCAATGACAATTCAATATTTAAAAGAAATTGAAATTCAACAAAAAAATGAAAAATAAATTTTAATAAATTTGAATTAATAACTGTCCATAAAATATTTATAATTATTATAGATATTTTATGAACAGATATGAGTAGAAGGGTTATTTTGATAATACCCTGAAAAGCACCCCACGGTTTTTTACAATAAAATCATTTTATTCTTACACTATTTTTAGTTCAAATTTATTAAAATTTATTTGGTTTTTATTTTTACGGATATCTTCTTTGACTTGGACCCCCGTTGAGATCGTGGACACCCTTATCCTCTTCCTTGCCTCCATAATCCTCAATTATTTCTTACCTATTCGCTGGAAGCTTAAGGGACTATATAAACTTAACCTGAGAGAATTTGCTAACACTGACCCTAGCAAGAGCCGTGCTTCGCAGAATCTACCACCGGATCGGAAACGCGACCCACTAGGAAGATCCGGCGAGAAACTCAGTGGGCTGTGTATGTGGGTTAAGGTCTCAGATCTTCACCTTTGCTTAATTTTTATTCATTCGTGAACATTATGTGTCGCGTTAGAATGATTGGTACCAGCGGTCACTTACTTAGACCACTGTATTGTATTAACGTGTGTGTGTCCAGCCCCTAACATAGCGGTGTATGCGCTGCTGAATGTGGCGTATACAACTTGAGATTTAGATAGGAAGAAATCACTGATAGTCAAAGAATATCCGTTTATTATATACTTCGCTAACAAGTAACTAATTTTATCTACAATACGACCGACGTAACTTGGCGAGTCTGAATATAGCCGCAGGTGAACTTTCGCGCATGTACACTCGTAAAAAAAAGTGTTATTAGCATTCATTTTTTTAAATCAAAATACGAATTAAAATTCCCATATACAGGGACCAAGTACAAATAAAATGAATATCAAAACACTATGAAACAGAAAGCTATAAAAATAACGTAATAAATTAAAGAGAGATAATAAAAGAATAATAAATTAAGACAGAAAGCTGTAAAAATAACGTAATTAAATTAATTCGAAAGTAAGCCCGAACACTGCCTTCAGTTGCGATCCGCTGTACTGTGCGTTGCGATATACCAGATCGTTAGCAACTCTAAATAAAACTGTCAACATATTTTACGCCTTCTTCTTTTTCTTTTTAAAAAAAAATCAAAAATTATGTTTGTCGGCCGTCGATTTAAAACACTATTATGCTTTGGTGGCATCTTTGTTAATGAATAGTATAAATACCAAGGGACACTCAATACTAAAACAAATTTAAACACAAATAATCTTAAAACTAAACAAAAAACTGAGCACTAAACAAAAACAGTATAATAATAACAAATCAATGAAAACTTTTGTAGCCGCCCGTACTCAAGACAGAGATAGCGACACGAACACGACACTAATGCTAGCGTGTGAGTGAGACACATTACCGCATACCGAGAATTACCGAATTTATACGATGTCAAGGCAAGGGATGTCCAATATGCGTGTTTGAGGATGTTGTTTAATCGATTTTTTTTCAAATTGATTAAAATTTATATAAAAATATATATTTATATTCCATTTTATAGGAGGTTTAAAATATTCACGAACAGTCCCTATTGTAGTAGTTGTTGATAAATAACTGATATTCAACTAAATCATGTCTTTCAACCAAGAAAATAAAGTGTTATTAGTTTTTTTTTTTATTAAAGATGAAGTCTCGTTTACTAACGACAACATTCAATATGTTTGTAAATCTATTTCATTCATTATCTCATATAAACAAAAATCAATAAATTCCAAACCGATAAAAATCGATTGCGATATTTGATTGAATAAAGGGACGATTGTGTTTACATAGAGTCAATCCCTAGCCTAGACCTCCGCCCCGCGCACGTTGCTCATACCACCATTTGGTTCCTAAAAACGTTTGTGCACAGCCTTCTGCGCGAAGTTCGGACTCGCCAAAATACGTCGGTCGTATTGTACATACGTCTCTAGCTAATAAAAGCGTATTAAAAGATACCGTTACGTTAGCGAAGTCTTATTAGAAATTGACATGGTCGTGACCTCGTGCCGTGAGGGTGTCGAGACTTGAGGATCTGGTGAGGACACGTCCTGGACGTCCTGGTTGCAGGCGCGTGGTACTGCAGCGAGATAGAGAACCGGATCCACAGGTCCTCGTGCACGTCTGTGTACTACCCGTGCGGGCTCCGCGCCTCCAGGTCCAACGTGCTGCTGGAACTGCTGGAGCAGGCGCTGAGTGAGCCCTGCTGCCACGTGCTGAGGACGCAGGTACGGTGCTAGCGGTAGGAGCTCTTGTGAGTCCGCGCGGGTAGGTACCACCGCCCTGCTAGTGTCTGCCGTAAAGCATTAAGGATGGGGCAGCCGTTGGGCTGTTAAAAATGAGACCTTAGAACTCATGTCTCAAGGTGTAGATGTCTATGGGTACCGGTAGCCGCTCAACACCAGGTGGGCTGTGAGCTCGTCCACCCATCTAAGCAATAAATAAATAAAACATTGAGATACGAGATCTCAGCATAACGGCTGCCTCCCCCATTACTGCTTCACGGCAGGAATAGGCAGGGCGATGATGCCTTTTGATTATTTTTTTAATGCTTAGGTGGATGGATGATTTCACAGCCCGCATGGTTTGAAATGGAACCCATAGACATCTACAACGTAAATGCGCCACCCACCTTGAGATATAAGTTCTAAGGTCTCAGTATAATTACAACGGCTGCCCCGCCCTTCAAACCGAAACACATTACTGCTTCACGGCAGAAATAGGCGGTACCTACCCGCGCCAGTAATTACGCAAATTATAATTTTGCGGGTATTTGATTTTTATTACACGACGTTATTCCTTCACCGTGGAAGTCAATCGTGAACATATGTTGAGTACGTATTTCATTAGAGAAATCGGTACCCGCCTGCGGGATTCGAACACCAGCCCTACACCAGCGGTCGGGAAACTTTTTTAATTATTACCCCAAAATATTTTTGTGTAAATTGATATAGCCCCATGGCGAAGAACAAAATAAAACGATATCGCTTCTTTTTAGCATCTTTCATATTAAAGCCCCCATGATAATTTTGAAAAGAAAACAATATACCTAGTAATACATAACGGTAATATACAATTGAGGAAAAAAATCCCCCCCCCCGGAGAAAATATAAGTAAATTGTAATTTCTTGTTATTTTATAATTCATATGATATTTTTCTTGTATAATTAGACGAAAAAACTAGTTAAAATTTTATATATAGCCCCCTTAAAAAATATTTTTTAATTTAAATGATTTTGTTTGGGAAAAAAAAATTCGCTTTTATTAGACTTATTTTTTCGTTTCGTTTCATTTCGTTTCATCGAGTTGTAAGGAATTTCATTTTTCAACCCCCACCTCCCTCCCCCAATTTCATTTTACCCCACTTGGCGCGATTTACCCCGGTTCCCCGACCGCTGCTCTACACAGACGTCCTGCGCCTTGCTTTCGCAGGAGCAGCTTGGGTACATAGTCGTCAGCGGTGTCCGTCGTGCTAATGGCGTCCAAGGGTTGAGGGTCATAGTCCAGGGCGACAAGCACCCCCGCTACCTGGAGACCAGGATAGAAGCCTTCATCAGCAACGCTCAAGTGAGTATCGCGTACGGCGGTAAGAGCGACGCCATGTATTATCCAATTTCACTCCTCGATATACTTAGTCTGGCCATAAATACTGTTACAATTAAAAATAAACAAAATATTACATTTGAGTTTGGAATCTGTCATTTTTATATGATTGCTCATTGAGTTTTCTCATTTTGGCGCCAATACATTGTACAAAATTTTGCGATATTAAAATGGAGTGGGGTGATAAAGAGAACCGAATCGCTGTGATTGCATTACACAAAGTAGGTATGGAGCCAAATGCAATTTTTAAAACTCTCCATACGCTTGGTATTAGTAAAATGTTTGTGTACCGGGCTATTAATAGGTGCAATGAGACTTCCTCTGTTTGTGACCGAAAAAAGTCTGGCCGTCCACGTAGTGTTCGTACGAAAAAGGTGGTCAAAGCAGCAAGGGAAAGAATTCGAAGAAATCCTATCCGAAAGCAAAAGATTTTATCACGGGAGATGAAGATGTAGGCAGCGGCTTGGCTCTGCCCCTGGCATTGCTGAAGTCCATGGGCGACGGTAACCACTCACCATCAGGCGGGCCGTATGCTCGTCTGCCTACAAGGGCAATAAAAAAAAATTGCAACTAGAACCATGTCGCGTATTTTAAAAGATGACTTAAACGATAAGCGAGTGTTTCCTTCTAGGAGTATTTAGAGAATATGAAGAACGAAGAGTTCTTGAAGTTCCGGTCGGCGCTGGCTGCCCGGAAACTGGAGAAGGCGAAGCACATCGGGGAGCGGGCCACGAGGTTCTGGTCCGAGATAGCGACGCAGGTACTGCCCCTAACACTACCGTCCCCTTGGCCCTCTCCCTCTCATGACACTCTCGAACCTGACACTCTCTACCCCTGATCCTTACTCTCTCATGACACTTTCTCTACTGACAATCTCTGACCTGACACTCTTTCTGCCACCTGATACTCTTTCTGCCACATGACACTCTTTCTCACCCTGAAACACAGACACTTACTTTTACTCTGTCACTCACTCTCACACTGACACTTACTCTCAATCTGACACTCACCTTCGCACTAACACTTGCTCTCACCCTGACGCTCATTCTACGCTTGACACTCGCTCTAACCCTGTCACTAACTCTACCCTTGACACTCACTCTACCCTGACTCTCACATTACCGCTGACATTTACTCTCCACCTGACATTTACATACCCACTGACACTCATGCTTCCCCTGACACTCAGTCTCCCCTGAGACTCAGTCTTCCCCTGACACTCACTCTCTCCCTGAGACTCCTCTCCCCCTGAGACTCACTCTTTCCTTGAGACTCCTCTACCCCTGAAACGCACTCCTCCTCTGAGACTCACTCTCTCCCTGAGACTCCTCTCCCCCTGAGACTCACTCTCCCCCTGAGACTCATTCTCTCCCTGAGACTCCTCTACCCCTGCGACTCACTCTCCCCCTGAGACTCTCTCTACCCATGTCCCTACAAGGGCAATAAAAAATAAGCTTTACGCTCCCGCCCAATGAATATTTAACGTTCTACAGATGTACAACTTTGATCGCGCGACTATTGAAGTGGAGCAACTAAACGCGGTCACTCAGCAGGACCTCATAGAGTACTACAAGGTATGTGCGCGTCGTAGTGCGGACCATGGGCTCGTGGGGAGGTCAGGTGGTAGGACCTCTTGTGAGTCCGCACGGCTAGGTACCACCACCCCGCCTATTTCTGCCGTGAAGCAGTAATGCGTTTCGGTTTGAAGGGCGGGGCAGCCGTTGTAGATATATACTATATATTATATACTATACTGAGACCTTAGAACTTATATCTCAAGGTGGGTGGCGCATTTACGTTGTGGATGTCTATGGGCTCCAGTAACCACTTAACACAAGGTGGGCTGTGAGCTCGTCCACCCATCTAAGCAATAAAAAAAAAATAGCTGANTCTATGGGCTCCAGTAACCACTTAACACAAGGTGGGCTGTGAGCTCGTCCACCCATCTAAGCAATAAAAAAAAAATAGCTGAAATACTAGCTAGACCAGCTATTTGGAAGTCTAGCCACCCAAAGTATTTCTCGTACTTCTTGTGGAATTCTCCATCTATAGGTATACTCCGATTCTTATTCAAATCATGTACTTCACAATATTTTCCAAATAATAGGTCCTGAACCAAAAAACTATTAATTGGTAAGCAATATCGAGATAATTTCGATATAGACATTTCGCTGTCGGACTTCCTTACTAGTCGCGGCGGCGAACGTGAGTACCTGTGGCCTGCAAACGGTGCTGCGCGAATGGTCGCCTCGTCCACCGCTTCGCTGTTCGCACCGCCGATCCCCGTGGTCAGGCCGTAAGGGGCTATATAAACTCAACCTGAGAGAATTTGCGAACACTAGCCCTAACAAGAGCAGTGCTTCGCAGAATCTACCATCGGATCGGAAACGCGACCCATTGAGAAGATCCGGCGAGAAACTCAGTGGGCCGTGTCTATGAGTTAGGCTCTCAGATCTTGACCTACATTTAATTTTTATTCATTCATGAATACTAAGTACGTGTCGCGGTAGAACGATTGGTACCATTGTTTTTATTGTTTAAATGGGTGGACGAGCTCACAGCCCACCTGGTGTTAAGTGGGTACTCGGGCTTAACATCTACGTGTCATGTATGTCTATCTACAACGTAGATGTCTATGGGCTTGAGATATAAGTTCTAAGGTCTCAAGTATAGTTACAGCGGCTGCCCCGCCCTTCAAACCGAAACGCGTTACTGATTCACGGCAGAAATAGGCGGGGCGGTGGTACTTACCCGTGCGGACTTACAAGAGGTCCTACCACCAGTGATTACTCAAATTATAATTTTGCGGGTTTCATTTTATTACACGATGTTATTCCTTCACCGTGGAAGTCAATCGTGAACATTTGTTGAGTGCATATTTCATTAGAAAAATTGGTACCCGCCTGCGGGATTCGAACACCGGTGCATCGCTCAACACGAATGCACGGGACGTCTTATCCTTTAGGCCACGACGACTACGATACACATTAACATTACGAATTCGATAGGTTTTCATGTTTGACGTACATACTACAATAATGAGACCGTCAGCGCAAAAGTGGCCTAACCCAAAATTTTTCATAATAATTCTTATAATTATGTATATTGCAATTTATTTAAAAATAATAAAATTTTTATTCAAAACCGGCCTATCCCTAGTTTCAGCCGTAGATAACAGATGGCTTTGTAAACAATATTAATGCGCGTATTGTTTTTTGCCTACTCAAATTCAAATTCATGAAAATTTAAACCTTATTGCTCCATAATAACTATGGTAAGCTTAGGTCACTTTTGCGCTGACGGCCTCATCTAAAAATGCTGTCTAGAGATTGCGACGAGATTTCTCGTCTTAAATGTAATACTATCAAGTGGTTTTCATTATTAAATAATAATGAATAATTTAAAAAAAAAAACCACACACATAATCTATATTATTATAATTAATTTACATTGTTTAAACTTTAAAACTATATTAAAAAAATAGCTAACTACTAATTGTGTTTTATATAATAATTAATTGACTTAATTCCTTATTATAATTGTTCAATTTTGCAATACACTTATTAACTCTTATTTAGTCTTTTGAAAGTATATTAATAACATATTAGGTATATATAAATAAAATCTAAGTATCTGTTTGTAATGTGAATACAGCTTTTCTAATGTATGCATACGAAAATATACAAGAGTCGGATTCACGATGAAGAATACGCATCCCCACTACCAAAGTGCCGATAGTGCCAATAGTGCCAAATGCATGATGTAGTTCATCAGGACATCACAGAAACAGCCGTTATCAATAATTCATAACGAGTTAGTGTGGAATGCAAAATGACACAAGAATACGCATCCCCACTACCAAAGTGCCAGTAGTGCCAAATGCATAATATAGTGCATCAGGACATCACACAAACAGCCGTTATCAATAAATCATAACATAGCGAGTTTGTGTGGAATGAAAAATGACACAAGAATACGCATCCCACTACCAAAGTGCCAGTAGTGCCAAATGCATAATATAGTTCATCAGGACATCACACAAACAGCCATTATCAATAATCCATAACATAGCGAGTTTGTGTGGAATGCAAAATGACACAAGAATACTCATCCCCACTACCAAAGTGCTAATAGTGCCAGGGACTTCGGTTCCCTCTGTATTTTGTACCGTATGTTCCATGGGGAGTGCTCTGAGGAATTGTTCGAGATGATACCGGCATCTCGTTTTTACCATCGCACCGCCCGCCACCGGAGTAGAGTTCATCCATACTACCTGGAGCCACTGCGGTCATCCACAGTGCGTTTCCAGAGGTCTTTTTTGCCACGTACCATCCGACTATGGAATGAGCTCCCCTCCACGGTGTTTCCCGAGCGCTATGACATGTCCTTCTTCAAACGAGGCTTGTGGAGAGTATTAAGCGGTAGGCAGCGGCTTGGCTCTGCCCCTGGCATTGCTGAAGTCCATGGGCGACGGTAACCACTCACCATCAGGTGGGCCGTATGCTCGTCTGCCTACAAGGGCAATAAAAAAANAAAAAAAAAAAAAAAAAAAAAAAAAAAAAAAAAAAAAAAAAAAAAAAAAAAAAAAAAAAAAAAAAAAAAAAAAATGCATAATCACACAAACAGCCGTTATCAATATTTCATAACATGTTTGTGTGGAACGCAAAAACATATACCGAATGGTGTTTTTGATGCAATTTCACTGTATTGAAAAAAACAATAACTTATTAAGAGACTACATCGGAACACACGCTGTATTTTCATGTGTTTTCACAACTATAAGAACGCTTGCCTGGAACCCTGTATTTCTCAATTATACTGCACTCTTCAGTCCTAAACCTCATTGCATTATTATACTGTCTTATTTACAATCACCTGGGCTCACTGACATTTGAGGTGTATGTAAGCAAATACGCTAAGTCACAAAATATTCTTATCTAATTAATCAAGATATTCTAGTGTGGTCTATGGCACATATAGACTATATGATAAGATTTTAACGCCATCACTAAGCCCACTGAGTTTCCCGCCGGATCTTCTCAGTGGGTCGCGTTTCCGATTCGGTGGTAGATTCTGCGAAGCACTGCTCTTGCTACAGCCAGTGTTAGCATCACTCCCAGTTTGAGCCCCGCGAGCTCACCTACACGTCAAGGAGAAGCTGAAATAGCCTCTCAAAGCTATCAGCATAGGTGGGAAAAAAAAACCCAAAAAAAAGCCATCGCTATTATTATTAAGAACTAAGGATTAAAAGAATCATTACTGGAAACAAAACATAGTTATTTGCAAATATTTTTTACAATAATGTTATTAATTAGCTACAATTTAGTATGTATGGTTTAAAAAATTATAAATTTGGACTTTATCATATCTGACTTCATACGCCTCAATTGTTGTATTTTATTCGGTGAGCAGGCTACACTTATTATCACCAAATGATTCTCTGTACTTCATCGAAATCTTTCCAGATCACCTCTCTAGTGAAGAAAACTTGAAAAGCCAGAACATTCAGTAGCAAATACCAACAAAACTCAATTAGGATCATTAAGCTGGACGGTCTTGAGAAACGCAGCCTCAATATGATAAATGGTATTAAAAAATACCTGACTTCGATCATTCGTTGTAACGCTACAGCAAGAAATATTGCCACCGTATAGGGTAGAAGAAACGATACACAATTTTGATCCTTCAAATTATCGTACAAATTAAAAGTTAAAAAAATGTATAAAGGTATTGTTGCATATTTGGCATATTCATATTTCCCGTACCATCGGTTCCATATATAAAACGTGAAATGTCTATTATCAGCCAGCAAATATGGGTGTATAATTGTATTATAATGTACTATTGCGAGCATTAATAATACTAGTAAAATAACCTTAAATTTATTTGAGAAGATCAATATTAACGTTGACTTCAATTTTAATATTACAAAAGGCATCCCGAATATGGCATAGAAAATTAAGAAATACAACAATTGCGGAACATGCACGGAAGCCTCATGAGCTTTTTTATCTCCTAAAACTATTGAGCCATTGTAATAAACGAAAGCCACAAAAAACAACAATAAAACACTATGTATCGACAATGTCAAAATATCTTGTGTATTTAAGTATCTGAAGAACGATTTGAAACACGTAGAAACATGATATTTAATGGCATAGTACACATCCATAATATCATAGTACCGTTTTAACTTGGACGTGTCAACATCGTTGGCTATCAGCGATTTCTTGCTTAACCTGATATTGGTCACATACTGGTTCCCGAAAACCCTTGAGCTTCGGATAAACAAATCTAAAAATTTATGACCAAACACCATAGCTATCCAGACAATGTTAGTTTGTCGCATTAATACACTGAACACTCCAAATACGAGCATCAAAAAGCCATGTCTATTTGTAAGACAGAGCCTAGAGAAAGCCAACAGAAACGTCAGAGATAATGTATCTGTGTAATATACGTGTGAAAAAAAATACAACGGTGGGAGTAACGTTAAATTCAGTGCTTGAATCACGATTTTCGATTGCTTACTTGTATACACAAATTTTAATATAGAGGCAAACAATAAGAGGTTCACGCACGAAGCCAGCAAGTTAATAAACCTTAGATTGTAAGTTGTGCAGGGAAAATACGTTCCCAAGAACACTGCAGATACTAAATATAGGCCTGGTAGCGTAGTTATTTTTGGATCCCAGTGCACGAAGTTCCGACGGCAATAGGATAGACCTTGCGGTATGTGGAACAGCTCATCGATGACTGTACGAGTTGTATGATGGACTTTATCGAAGACAAACTTTGAGGCTATGAAGTAAGCAGCTAGTGTGAATCCCAGCATCAAATAGTACGGTGTCGCTGTACCCATTTTTTCCAAACGAACTGTAATGAAAAATATTTTTACAAACTACATATTATTATTATGTACATATTGATCTCTTAAGATGAAATATTGTAAAAGACATGCCAAACTATTCAATAGACAAAGTACTTTACTTTTTTAGTGGTAAGGGATATCGTAATCCTGCATGTGTCAGTCTATCAATTATACCATATAACTCAAATGTAGTTTAAAAGCTACCATTGATCAGAGGTACAGCCGCTGCCCTCAACATGAATTCAACTCAAATGGTAGGCATCAATTTCGGTAGGCAGCGGCTTGGCTCTGCCCCTGGCATTGCTGAAGTCCATGGGCGACGATAACCACTTGCCATCAGGTGGGCCGTATGCTCATCTGCCTACAAGGGCAATAAAAAAAAAGGATTTATGAGGCCGCAAAGCTATTGGCTAAGTAAATAATTTAGTTTGCCTTCACAGGGTACCAAGACTTTATTTAGGCTTCCAAGGGAACAGTCCAATAACCATTCTCCTTATTCATATTGAGAATGTATAGACTAGAGCCCCAAGGAAATTGTGGCTTTAAGACGAAAGACAGCAGTGTCCTTTGACATTAAATGGATCGTACATCGTCTCCTGTTTATGCCAATAATAAAAATCTGTGATGTGTTTGTAAATTTAATTTTACACAGATGCTTAGCTTTAAATCTAATGTAGACTGAATCCGCACTGCCCAACATTTTCAAAGGCTTCAAAGGACTAAGGTGATCACGCTAGCCAAAATATTAAATAGTACAAACATGGGATACTTATCTTAAATAACACATGGTACAAAGTATTTCGCAAATATCTAATTTTTAGATTTATATATTTTACGTTTATATCAGGTTTATTTCAATGACTCTTACGCTTCAAACGAGGACAACGATTAACTTTGATAAGATGGTTGGTTATGGTCGAGAAACTACAGGTTTGGTATTGCATTGTTTTAATTAAAAAATAAACATAATTAAATACGTACCTGTTCAATATTTAGATAATTTGTATTATGAGACTTATTTTATGCGGTTCTTAACCGGGTTTTAGTTTTTATAATCAAAATTAATGACAGTGTTTACCGGTAAAATTCTTCACAAGCATTTTTTTCTGATTATGACAGCCGGCTTGGGCTGACAGTGATAGCTGTGACAGTAGTCGTTTTTTTTAACTGGAAAGACAAAAGTATTGTACCATACTGCCTAATCTTTTATATTTTTTCTAAATGGCAAATGTTAATAAGAACTGATGTTGATTAATTAGAATGAAATGAGATGAGATGATATATAATCTCAGTAAAATGGTGATTATTATCTTATGAGATTTTAATTCGAAACGAATCACACAGCTATCTTGACTTTTTGGCGGGAACACGAGGAGTGAAGTTGTGTGAATTGTTTTATTTTGTCTATTTAGTGTTTCTGCCGCTGGACGTAGCTTCTCGGGATTCTCCAAAAACTCCACTGAAATAGTCTCAGTAAATGAGCACCATTTTACTGAGATTATACTTCGTCACATAACATCTCATTTGTAAATTTAATTCGTTTTTAATCATTTATGTTATGTCGCTATTAGCTTCCTTCGTTGTTTATTATTCATAAACTGCAAATAATTAAAACGGCGAATATAAAAAATCTTATTACCTGACGCTGGCTAATGCACAAACCGTGCAGTAGCCAAAAAAAAGAACAAAATAATGTACACATAACATACTTTTTTTTATCTTTGTACATATTTAGAATTCCCATGTACAGTTTATGTAGAACGACGTATGTATGAACCGCAGTGGCCGGCTATACAAGTGGCGACGGTGACCATCGTGCGAACCACACCTAATAAAATAAATAGGTACATTTATTATGGCGGCATTACCGTCATATACATTAACATTAAAATAAAACACTGTCAATAATAAAAGATTTATTAAAACATTTGTGGTCAACGAAAACAGTATAAAACATTTACTTACGTATCAAAACGTCTCGACTTTACAATTCTGCGAGACAACGAATTAATTACAAAAAAAACGTTTTTTCTTACACGACTTGGGTATAAACCAATATACTTATACATACATATGCGCTTCTTTCAACATCATTACATAATGTCTATCACAAATACAATGGAATTATTGTTACAAATAAATAAAAATATAAAATTTAATGTCATTTTACTGTTAGATCAAATGACATGATTCGTACTAAAAAAAAAATCGAATCACTAATTTTATCACATTATTACTTTTACGTTACTGTAAAAAATACACTATGTGTAATATAAGTTAGTATATAAATTAATTAAATTAATAATGTTGTATAACAAAGATAGAAACCTTATTTACTGAACGAAAAGTGTAATGGACCGAAATAAAAATCAAATAAGGTGAGCTAAGTAAGAAATGATATGATATAATAATGACTTGATAAAATTGTCGAAATTAATTTCCAGTTGGATAAACTTTTGAAATTTTATTTCTTTTTCTTTAACTAACCCACCATTATTGTACTTTTAAACTCGAAGAAACAAATGAATAAATTAAACTTGACATCTCGCGTTTCCTCCAAAACTCATCAAACTGAATTCGGATAAGCTTGTACTTCTTTATTTTTATATTGGCAAAGGGAACGGTTTTAATCGATCCTGAACCTTATTATTTTAGTTTTTCCAATATTAATTCTACGTTCGTTTGTACTTTTTAATATTAAGTCACTGCACCGTCCTATAAACTTAATCGTAAAATCACAGGGGTATTAAACATTGGAAGGCCAGTTATAAATTCGGTTCACTGAGAAATAGTTTGCTGCGTGACCGCGATTTCTTTTGAATTGGTAACTGTTTAAATAAAAGGAAAAAAATAAATGCACTAAATTAGAAAATCAGAGTTTCAGTCCCGCAATCCAGTAACTTCAGATCCATTTATCATCTTTCTTCCCCAAAAGCGGAGTAGATTCGACTTCCTTTAAATCTTTTGTCGGACTTATTTCTTTTCCGTACTTGGCCATGTTATTGGAGACTATATACGGAACCCCCGCCAGGTCTGAAGACAGAGGATTGTAGTATTGTCTGTAGCAGAAAACTGCAATCGTGAACCCTAGTAAAGATCCCACGAGGATATCTGTTGAAGAGTATAGATATAGAGCATACAATACTATATAATACAAATAATAATTTAAATCATTTTTACACATTCAACATCAAGCTGTAAAAGTTATTTTAATTACGCTACGATAATATATTTTAAAAATGAGACGATAAAGCGTTTTCAGTAGTCCATGGACCACACAAACTTAAATTTAAATCGAAGCGCATGACTAGTTTGCGGTAGAAATTAGTAGGGTGTTCTACTTTGATGGTGCTGATTTACCACCACCAGTTATTAGAAATTACGGGGACGTTGGGGAAGAGCGCAAAAACGCATCTTCTAAAGGTCCGTATTCGTTTGAGCAGCCTGAGGCCAAGCAGCCTCCACTTGGGGCGGTTTGAGGGTGTCCTCTTTGAGGCAGAGGGGCGATATGACACGATCTAATTTAGAGCAAAAACGCGATAGTAACAAACGAATGCAAAAGAGGGAAACATCGATGGTGGATTAAAGAGTTATATCCCAATAACAGTTCCGCGTTACGGTTTCGTTTTTATGTATTTAATTGCGTTATTGTTGTCAATTTCAACTGTGGGTTGCGGATATGCGGGGACACGTCCGTCTCCGCTGAACACAAGAGTGAGACTGAGGTTTTTTTGAATGCCGACAAAGTATAGCACGTGTCGCGGCGTACACTAGGTCGATGATCTCGTCCCCAATTGCGTTGACTCTGTTAGACACTTTGTATTGTTACGCCGGTAAGAGTAACGCCATTTATCGTCGAATAGTCGATCGAATATCGGAGGATCTAGTAGCACCTAGAACGCTCGAGAAGTACAACGCCATCTATTGTCAGATAGCGGAAACACAATACTCGAAATGTGTGAAATATTCTCGATAGTTCTAGGGATGTGGTATCGGCTATAAAAGCGTTGCAGTGCAGATGGCACGCAGTCAATCAGTAATCGGAATTACTCGAAGCGAAACAGCGATCGGATCATCTGAAGCGAAGCGGAAGAAGCGTATTGAGAATTTTAAAGTGTTTTAAGTGTTCTAAATGCTAATACAGTGTTAATTTGTAATACGGTAGAAATTTTTATTATCCCAAACCCCAGCGCGTAACAGTATTAATTTAAAACTACCCACCTTCCCAGTGATGATGGTAATCGCAGGAGCGCGATAGAGCGACTATGCCGGCCACGACCAGGGGGCAGAGGGTGATCAGGACCCTCGCTGCACTGCCCCGCCGGCGCGAGGTCGTACCCAGCCGCCCGCAGAGCCAAACGGAAGCGACGCCCAATGAGCAGAACGACACTGCGTTATTCAATACAAGCAAATCGATTTCTTTATTGTTTCGACCGGTTAAAAGGATTACGGTTTATCCGGTTTTGATTGGTTACCGGAGTCCGTTTACTTTGAGAACCGGAGATCTGTCTCAATTGTGTATAGATTTGATTATTTTATTACACGATATTACGTTTGGGATGGTATGGACATGTGATGAGACGAAATGACAATGAGGTTGGTAAGAGAGTTTTAACTATGAACATGGAAGGCTTTAGGGGAAGAGGTAGACCGAAGAAAAAAGGAGAAAACATGTTGCGCCGACCTCAGGTGACTGGGAGAAGGGCAGGAGAATGATGATGATGATGACGATATTATATCTCTATAGTAGAAGCCTTTTTTCTTCTAACTATTCGCTGAAGGGATTATTCTAGCACCTGGAAGGGTAGATGAGCTCAAGGGCTCAACCCGAGAGAGTTTGCTAACACTAGCCCTAGCAAGAGCAGTGAGAACCTCAATAAGCTGTGTCTATGGGTTAGTTTTAACGTTTTTATTATTATTTTTTATTGCTTAGATGGGTGGACGAGCTCACTGCCCGCCTGGTGTTAAGTGGTTACCGGAGCCCATAGACATCTACAACGTAAATGCCGCCACCCACCTTGAGATACAAGTTCTAAGGTCTCAGTATAGTTACAACGGCTGCTCCACCCTTCAAACCGAAATGCATTACTGCTTCACCGCTGAAATAGGCAGGGTGGTGGTACCTACTCGCGCGGACTCACAAGAGGTCCTACCACCAGTACAAGAGGTACATCACAGTTTTATGAGCCATTATCCCAATTCTACATACACATCTATATGTATAAAAATGATTTGCTGTTTGTTAGTCTCGCTAAAACTCGAGAACGGCTGGACCGATTTGGCTAATTTTGGTCTTGAAATATTTGTGGAAGTCCAGAGAAGGTTCAAATGGCAGATAAATATGAAAATGCTCGGAATTAAATGTTTTCCCTTTGATGTGTCCCCCGTCGGATGGATTCATTTGGTATTTTTTAATTTTATTGTATACAAAAGCTTAAGTCTTTAATTTTTCAATTGAGGCACTACAAACTACTACGAAGTCTGCCGGGTCAGCTAGTACATAATATTTTTCACTCACAGCTGCTGTGACCGCTCGGGAAAGACTTCCTTCCATCCATCACGACCATCGGATCCCCAGTGCAGACCAGCTTCGGAGTCTCCACTCCGTCGGGGAAGCATCTGTAGAAGAAGTCTGGTCTCGGCCGTCCTAGAACAAAGAAATATAGTTACAACGGCTGTCCCACCCGTCAAACCGACGTAGCAACTATTGTGAGTCCGCGGGGGTATGTAGGTACCACCGCCCTGCCTATTTCTTGAAGCAGTAATGCGTTTCGGTTTGAAGGGTGGGGCAGCCGTTGTACTGTTAAAAATGAGACCTTAGAACTTATGCTTCAAGGAGGGTGGCGGCATTTACGTTGTAGATGTCTATGGGCTCCAGTAACCACTTAACACCAGGTGGGCTGTGAGCTCGTACACCTTCTAAGCAAAAAATAAATAAATAAACAAAAACAGGGAAAAAAACGCCTCAAGAAGATTCTGTCTTGAAGACGTATTATTTCAGAGGGCAATGATTTACAATTATTTTTTAATACTTGGCTAATAGCATTTTCATCGCTTTTCTCGAACTATAGACAAAATCGAAACTATTTTAGGCAGTTAAGGCGACATTTTTGCAGAGCCATTTAATGTTTAAGAGTTTGGAAAAAGTATCGTAACAACAACAAAAAAAAACTTCTTCGGCTATTTGAATAGACTCAACTTGATTCAAAACATCGATTTGTTTATGCTAATAATACCAAATAAAACGGACCTTTAATTACAAAGATAATTGTCGCGTGTTAAGCAAAATGTCGTCGAAAACCGTAAAAATAGTATTTAACAGATCAACGTCGCGTCATACATTGATAGCTTGATTGGCCAGCGGTGACGTCATATCGCACGAACCAATGAGAAATCAGGGAACGCAACAGCGGCGCCAAATGTCAAAATTTTATTATCACACGGAAAAAAAAAGATGGACACGCATGTCAATGTAACTATTGTATGTTTGTAAAATAATTAAAAACAATATATATTTAGTATTTGAAGAAGTAAACGCTTTTTTTATTCATTTTCCTGTAAGAAATAGCCTGTACCTCTAAGAAATAGACGGATCAAATAGTTTTAAGTATAACTAAAATTCTTAATTTTCAAATACCTGCTATCAATTTTATTCCGTCGGTCAAAACGCCGTTCAGACCTAGAGCTAACGACCACGCTAGTAGTATCTAAAAACGAGAAGAAAACAATTAAAATTAATACCTACTTCCTACAGTAGTAACGGTTTGTAGCAAGCACAAATTAAAAAAACTTTTAAAGGAAAACTTTAAAACCGTAAAAACTCTTTAAATTCTTTTCCGTAAACCACTGCGAGGACTCAGGTCAGAACGAAAGAATGCACCATGTCGCAAATAAGCAAGATGGTAACATTGGAGTGAGATTTTTTTTATTTGTTTTTTTATTGCCTAGATGTGTGGACGAACTCACAGCCCACCTGGTGTTAAGTGGTTACTGGAACCCATAGACATCTACAACCTAAGTGCGCCACACACCTTGAGATATAAGTTCTAAGGTCTCAGTATAGTTACAACGGCTGCCCCACCCTTCAAACCAAAATGCATTACTGCTTCACGGCAGAAATAGGCGGGGCGGTGATACCTACCCGTGCGGACTCACAAGAGGTCCTACCACCAGTAATTACGCAAATTATAATTTTGCGGGTTTGATTTTTATTACACGATGTTATATTCCTTCACCGTGGAAGTCAATCGTGAACAACTGTTAAGTACGTATTTCATTAGAAAAATTTGTACCCGCCTGCGGGATTCGAACACCGCTGCATCGCTATATATGAATGCACCGGACGTCTTATCCTTTAGGCCACGACGACTTCAATTCTATGATTGCAATATCTATGCCTACAACTTATATTATGTTAGGAAGGACTACACAGCAGCCAAGATAGATTTAGGAGGACCAAAGTACCTAATGCATTAAATACTGAACTATGCGTGCTAAGTGACTGCATATGTCTTTGCCATCGTCCCGTCCACCACTGAAGCTCATTTAAGTCCATCTGCCTATGAAAATCAGTACTCTCTATCAGCATAGGATCGAGGATACTGCTAAAACTCTGACCGGAGTCACCTTCGTTCTCTTACGGCATTTTCTTGCAGCGTTTTCTGATTATTATACTAGTAAGCTGCAATCGTCGAATCTATTGGACCTATTGTAAACCCCAAAGCTACATCCTACCTAGTCTCATATCTAGAAAGCTTTCATAAAAAATTAAAAGTAAAACCCTCACCTCGAAGGCGTCATTGCAGTCGTTGCAGCAACCCCAGGCCAATATGGACAGTACGCAAGGCACCGACAGCACTATGGCCCATAACGTGCCCCCAGGAACGTAGGAATCCACACGGGGATACTTGTAAAGCGACTCCAAGTCCGCCGGGTGAATTACTCGCTTGAAAGGGGGCAGAGTCTCCATGTAACTAATGAGTGAATGTTTTATTAATAGAGCTGTTTTTTATTTATTTTATTGCTTAGATGGGTGGACGAGCTCACAGCCCATCTGGTGTTAAGTGGTTACTGGAGCCCATACACATCTATAACGTAAATGCGCCACCCAACTTGAAATATAAGTCCTAAAGTCTCAGTATAGTTACAACGGCTGCCCCACCCTTCAAACCGAAGTGCATTACTGCTTCACGGCAGAACTAGGCAGGGCGGTGGTACCTACCCGTGCAGACCCACAAGAGGTCCTATCACCAGTAAAAATAAAGCTAAAAGTGGTCCTACCACCAGTAAAACCGTGTTATAAAGCTAAGCTTAGTTTCTGTTCTTTAACTGATTTTAAAAAAGCCAGACATTTTTTTTATTTAGCTACCTTTTATATGTGTGTTGCAACAGAACTTTGTTCTAGTTGACAGATTTTCATGATTCTTTTATTTTTAAACATTTAAACTTATTCAAGATCTGACTAGTAGTAGTATCCTTAATAATGAATTTATTGACTTTGACTACATTGATAATATCTAATTTTTATTACAAATGGAATGATCAGTGCAAGTCTTGAAAACTAAGAGTCCATAGCAGTAATTATGGTTGTTCTACCCTATTAAAAAGGGTGAAAAAAACATGTATTTTGGAGATTCTTCATGGCAAAAATGGAAAATTTGGTGATATCTCCAACCATGAAGGCTTTTATAGTTCAAAACATAAATATGAATCTGTTCACAAACCAATATTATGCAATTATGTTATTCAAATTAAGTTTACTGAGAGTACTCGGTGATGGGCAGCGACTCAGCTGTGTCCCTGGCAATGCTGATGTCCATGGGCAACAACAACCAATCGCCATCAGGTAGGCTGTGTGCTCAACTGCTTACAAAGGGAAAGAAACAAAAACATAAGTAACTGAATGACAAGCTAAGGCATATATTGTGTATAAAATGTCAGTTCAGGGACCAGTGAATGTTTTTCTGAGTATCTCAAAGCAGTCACACGTTTCAGTTCGAAAAGTGGGACAGAGATTCTTCAATCGAATTGAGACAACGGCCTCATGCCTCAAGGTGAGTTGTGGCATTCACGTTGTGATGTCAGTAGGCAACAATAACCGCTTTACACCAAGCGGTATGGACCGTGAGTACGTTAATCCACATACGAAATGAAAAAATGTTAATTATCCATTATCGAGTTAATAGTCTATAATTAATATCGATGCGTCATTCCGCGCATAACAATTAACTCCTAGTCTATCGATTGCTAGCCACAAAAGTGGTGAGGCGTTCGAAATGAAATAAATAATTGGCAAAATATGTTTGATTATTAAAACGTTTATAAATATTTGTATCTCACCAAAATGCTGACATTAAAGCGATTCTTAACACAATTTCTATTAACAAGTTGAAACTAGCCGAGCGTACGAGAGGCATTTTAGCTTATTTTCTTAAATTATTTGTGTGAATTATACTAAATGTTTATTCCATTGTATTGATAGTGATATCAATTTTGACGTTTAGTGGTTTTCGAAAAAAACCTACGTGTGTCGTGTCAATCCGTCAGTTCAGTGTTTCTGAACGAACAATTTTTTTTAATCAAAATTCTGAACCGAAATTACTGGTGAGTTTTATTTTATAGTCTTTCAATATTCTCTCATATAAACTGTCACATTATGTACTTCTGATAGCCGAAGTTAGTGCTTAAGTTTTGATTAATTTTCTTTTTTACTATTATCAAACAAATAAAATTTTTGAACGAATATTTAAAAACGCGTTTAAAAAAATATACATTTATAAAAGTTGATTTTTGGGTGGCAGCTTTACATGAATTATAGGATCCTCTTGATCCATTTACAGTACTTTATGGCATATCAAGCATTAGTCACCGTCCTCGTCGAATGCGACGAAGGGTTCAACGTTAAACTTAAACCACAGATTAAGCCCAATAAGTTTCTCGCCGGATCTTCTTAGTGGCTTGCGATTCCAATCCGGAAGTAGATTCAGTGAAGTATTACTATTGTAGAGATTACTATTGCTAGCAAATTCTATCAGGCTGTGCCTTGTAAGTTCGCTTACCATCCCGGAGAAGCTGGAATAGCTTTTTAAGGATACAAAAAAAATAGGTAGAGGAAAAATTACCGAAACCAATTTGCTTTTAAACGCGCACCCTCAATTCAGGAACAAGGATTTTTTGTAATGGAGTTGTTCCCAAACAGGCTTTTCCAGCTTCGTGAGGATAGGTAGACCAACACGGGCTCAGTCAGGGTGGGATTTAGTAACAGCCGCCCGAGCCTCTCCGAAGGAAATCTGATAGCTCAAAGGCAAATGTTCCACGGGTTCACTTACTATCAGTGTGCTAAGAAAAACTATCGAATTCTTAATGTAAGTTATGGAGGGTAGAGGTAAGGATAACCGTCTCTGTGTGTGAAAAAGTGTCCATTAAAATATACTAAATAAGGCTAGCGCTACAGTAGCAACCGGGAAAATTTAAAAAAGGCGCTGAAAGTTATTAGAATAAGATAGAAATAAAAAAGGACGAAAGAACTTTTATAATAGTAAGCACTACAAAATCACAAAAAGTATTTAAAGCTGAAAGGAAAATGCAATCGATGTCTCCACGTTTTACTACAGAAATCATTTTAGGTTATATTGACGAAATTAGTTTGGTCTACGTAAACATGTGAGGTTATGTTACACTATCACTAACTACTCTAGTCATTAAATATATTAAATTTCCTAACTCAGCATACTTCAATCAGTTAACAACCGCTCAATTCCTATCTTACCCTGTGCATAAGCTAGCGCCATTCCGGAGGACTTTTGAACTGTTATTTAATACCTACTGAAAGTGGGACACTTTTTCAAGCTTCTTCCATACAAGAAACTTTTTGGCGGGAACACGAGGAGTGAAGTTGTGTGATTTGTTTTATTTTGTCTAGTTAGTGTTTCTTCGGGTTTAAATGTGTAATAATGGTGGTAAATGTTTAATATCTGTGAAAGTGCACAAATGTGGGAAAATGAAACAAAGGCGCTGGACGTATCTTCTCGGGATCCTCCAAAAAGTCCACTAAAAAAATCTTAGTAAATGACCACCATTTTACTGAGATTATATTTCATCCCATAATACCATCTCATTTCATTTCATTTAATTTCATCCCAATTGATTAATGTCTCAAATTAATCATCTTCATTTCATATCACTCCATAATATCATTTTTCATAAAAATATGAATATAAATTAAAATAAGACATGACTTAAAGGTCTGTTACCAGGTCATAAAATCCCTTAAAAAAAGTCCATACAAGACGGTTCTCCTTACCTCTATCTTCCATAATGTAAGTGTATGGAGCCTTCGAAGTATGTTTGAAAATTATTGAATCAGGTACAAATTTCAATGCCAAATGTTAATTTTTCTTTTTTTTTTATTGCCCTTGTAGGCTGACGAGAAGACGACCCACCTGATGGTGAGTGGTTACCGTCGCCCATCGACTTCAGCAATGCCAGGGGCAGAGCCAAGCCGCTGCCTACCGATCTTCATGTGGACCATTTATAAAATACATATTGCATTATGTTATAGATTAGAATACTCCGGGCACGACCAGTGGGTCAACTGAGGTATCTCCTCAACAATCTATTGAGTCTCTGGCGCGAAGGTCGCTACGCCACCTGTAGTCCTATAACTCGATGCGTACGCCTCCGATCACAAGCTTGGCACCCGGCGAGAAGCTCAGTGGGTCGGTTCCTCATCAATGTACTACCTTTATTTATAATGTCGTCGTGGTCTAAAGGTTAAGACGTCCGGTGCATTCGTATCTAACGATGCAACGGTGTTCGAATCCCGCAGGCGGGTACCAATTTTTCTAATGAAATACGTACTTAACAAAATTTAATGTTCACGATTGACTTCCACGGTGAAGGAATGACATCGTGTAATAAAAATCAAACCCGCAAAATTATAATTTGCGTAATTACTGGTGGTAGGACCTCTTGTGAATTCGCACGGGTAGGTACCACCGCCCTGCCTATTTCTGCCATGAAGCAGTAATGCGTTTCGGTTTGAAGGGCGGGGCAGCCGTTGTAACTATACTGAGACCTTACAACTTATATCACAAGGTGGGTGACGCATTTACGTTCTAGTTTCATGGGCGCCAGTAACCACTTAACACCAGGTAGGCGGTGAGCTCGTCCATCCATCTAGGCAATTAAAAATAAAAATTTATCTATTAGCTGAGTCCCGCGATGTTACCCGCGGTTATTGTCGTACCGTGGGTGACGCCACGGGGCCAAGCTAGTCTAAAAAAAGTAGCCTAAGTTACTCCTTGTATCGCTGCCTATCAGTGAAAGTCTCGTCAAAATCGGTCCAGCTGTTTCAGAGATTAGCCGGAACAAACAGACAGACTGAGAGACAAAGATTAAAAATAATAATTTGGTATATGTACTGTGGTATACATACTTACCCAAATTAGTAATTTTTTTATTTTTTATTATTACAAATAGACACTCCAATTTTATTTATTTGTATAGATCATATTTTATAACAAAGAAAAACAACAACATTAATATGTAGTAAATATCAAGATTTTTTATTTTACAAATAAATCTTAAGTACAAAGTAACGAATCGAAAAACAATACGTAAATGCATAAAAATGCTTTTCTAAAATTTACATTTTACAAAAATAAAAGAAAAAAAAAACAAATGGAATTTAAGAAAAAAGGTATGATCGAAAAAAATATAAATATGAAAAAACAACTCTTAAACTTCACAGTCTACATATAAAATAAGCAGCAAGTGGAATTAACCATTAAAAAAAAGTAGAATTTTTTTTATGAGCGTAAAAAAAATCTTACTTTAAAAAATACTTAATACTATAAATTGTTTAATGTATATTAATATGAATAGATACATTTTAAATATCAGTTAGGTAACTAAATAGTTTAGATCATGCGTTATTTAAAAGATCATTTGAATATTATAAAAATTGAGTGTGCTTTGGACCACACGACTGAGATTAAAACTTCTTTAGCTCCGTCTATATATACGTATTTAAACTTAAGTATATAATATAATATGTAGTATGTATATATATGTACATATCATGTTAATTTTCTACAAATATTTAGTTTTAATTGTGGCTTTTCATTATAAAATTAAAATTTTTGAATGAGAAATGAATTTTAATAAATTTGAGAGGAAGAGAGAACGAAGATGTGTGCTCACATCTCTCTCTCTCTCTCTCTCTCTCTTGCTCCCACAACAATATAAAAAAGGTAACTCTCTCTCTTTCTCTCTTCGTTATATCTCCCTCTTAACTTCCGTTCGCCTCACCCGATCACAGTTTTCGTAACGGTCTTGTGACGTTCTCTCCAGCTTAATTACCCAAGTCTAACGTGCTTAAAGAAGTTTTACTTCAAAATAGACAATAAAAATTTTCTATGAAACATATTATTATTATGTATATTGGCGAGTCTTCATAGTAAAATGTAATTATGTATCAGACGGCGAACCAAAAGACGCTCACATCTCAATATTATCTTTTAATCCGTTCAACTCTGCGTTCATGGTCTTTTAATCTTTACAAATACAATTTATTATTGACTTTGACATTGACAACAGTCTCTAAATGTCCTGCTGCCTTTTCCACCATCAAGTGGGCCGTATGCTCGTCCGCCTACAATGGCAATAAAAAAAGAAAACTTGAAGATGGCGTTAAAGTAGCAAAATTGGAAAAAAAAAGAACTTGGGATTTTGACGCAAGCAATTCGCGCCCTATATATACTCTTTTTTTTAAATTTCTTTTAATCAGAATTAAAACTTGAATGTTTAAACTGGATTTTTGCTAAATCACATTTTTTTTCAACTTTCATTTCATATAGACAATTTAAAATTCGTAATACGAACTATTATTTAATTCATTTAGGCTGACGTTTTTCTATAAGATATTACAGATTCCATTGCACCCTCCGTAATATAAATTATAATAGATTCAGATAACAACTCTCCGTAATCCCTTAAGGAAAACAAAATGGCGGCCAGTTTTTTTTTTTTAATAAGTCTCTTCTCAGGCTCAAGAGCCATACAGCCACACAATAACAAGTCCAGTTTCGACATTCATATTCTAAGTAAACGTTTCCGTGGCCAGGACGAGAGAGGACCCCACCGGATTAATGGTTCGAATCTACAAATAATAGCCCATAGAATGCGCTCTAGCGTTTTTGTAGTAATCGAAATACTCTTGAGGCGAATGCGCGTGCTTCTTAACGATATCATCTAGTTGCATTTGATCACCCCAGTCCGCCTGTAATTAAATAAATGGAAATTTAGTGTTAGTAAAAAGAAAGTATTGTGTGGCCAAAACACAATGCGGCAGGGCGCAGGGCGGTTAAGACTTTTGGCGGCAACGACATGATAAACTTATACAGATAATATATCGTCGTTGTCAAAGCAAAGTCTACTATGTGCACTTCTTGAGATTATTACTTTTGACATTTTCGTATAGTTCACAGCCCTATCTACCGTATAAAAAAAACTGTTATGTGTCTATAGCTTTAATATTTATCTATAGCTTTCATTTGATATATTTCTCAAAAATTCACCTTCATATATAATAAAATTTTATACGAAAATGTTTTTACTCGTTAATTCAAAATACGAGTTTTTGCACATAGCAGATTTTGGTTTCACAGCGACGATATGGAGGGTAGATGTAAGTAGCGCCATCTTGTATCGGGGACAAGTTGATAAAGTGTCCGTCTGTAAACAGCGCGTTGTTGTTGGAAGACTCGCCGACGTAGCGCTAGTGTAGCAAGTGGAAATTATATGAATATAGCAGTTTTAATTGAAATGAAGTTTGGTGATTTATGGCACTGTTTTTAAAATCTTCCCTCTTGCTACAGTGGCGCCATCTTAATTAGCTCCTTTTTCACGGACACTTTTACTACACTGAGATGGAGCTCCTTACCCTCCACAAGATAACACACGAACCACTGAATCAATAAAGTATTTATTTTACTTATTTCACCCAAAAAAATATATTTAATTTATAAGTCCAATGATTCAACATTCACTACTGGTGGTAGGACGTCTTTTGTTAAGTACCACCACCCTGCCTATTCTTGACAAGTAGTAACGCGTTTCGTTTTGAAGGATTTGATGGTAGTGGCATTTGGATTGCTGATGTCTATGGACTTTACTATTCATCTAACTTTAATAAAATTAAATGTAAAAACATTTTTTTTATTGCCTAGATGGGTGGTTAAGTGGTTACTGGGGCCCATAGACATCTACAACGTAAATGCCGCCACCGACCTTGAGATATAAGTTCTAAGGTATCAAGTGTAGTTACAACGGCTGCCCCACCCTTCAAACCGAAACGCATTACTGCTTTACGGCAGAAATAGGCAGGACGGTGGTACCTACCCGCGCGGACTCACAAGACGTCCTACTACCAGTAATTACGCAAATTATGATTTTGCGGGTTTTGATTTTTACTGCACGATGTTATTCCTTCACCGCGGAAGCCATTCGTGAGCATGTGTTGAGTACGTATTTCATTAGATAAATTATAGAAATTCGTATCTGCCGTAGGATTCGAAGCTTATTCCACATCAATTAAGTCCACCAAGAGTCTTATACCCTGAACCCCTCAATTAATAAAACTGGACTTTACTTACGAAATTAGGGAACAACGATTTCTTCTCCACGAATTTTCTATCGTTGACACACCTCAGGAGGTACAGCCTCTCGACCCAAGGCCAGACCATATAGTCCAGCATTCCAGGTCGGTTACCGCCGAAGTAATTTGTACCTATATAAACGATCTGGTTGTAGACAATTGGCGAAGTCCAAGAATGACCCACATCATGATATGAGGTCTAAGTGTCCACCTGGTGTTAAGTGGTTACTGGAGCCCATAGACATCTACAACGTAAATGCCGCCACCCACCTTGAGATATGAGCTCTAAGGTCTCAGTATATTTAGAGCGGCGGCCCCACCCTTCAAACAGAAACGCATTATAATAGGCAGGGCGGTGGTACCTACCCGCGCGGACTCACATGAGGTCCCACCACCAGTAATAAATGCCACATCCTTCAAGAGGTATTACTGCTTCACGGCAGGATAGGCAGCATATGGGCTCCCAAGACACTCCAGCTCAGCACTAGTAACGCACAGAGCAGGTCCTTATCTCTACCTTAAATAGGCGAATTGGTACATCTGTTAAGACTTCTTGGCGGGAACGCGAGGAGTGAAGTTGTGTGATTTGTCTATTTAGTGTTTCTTCAGGTTAAAATGTGTTGCTGGTTTATTAACTGTTTAATATCTGTGAAAGTGCACAAATGTGAGGAAATTAAACAAAGCCGCCGGACGTAACTTCTCGGGATCCTCCAAAAAGTCCACTGAAAAAGTCTCAGTAAATGACCAATCATCATCGACCACCATTTTACTGAGATTATATTTCATCCCATATCATCTCATCTCAATTCATTTAATTTAATTTTACATAAAAATAAGAATATAAATGAAAATAAGATTTGACCTGAAGGTCTTAGTTACCAGGTCATAAAATCCCTTAAAAATAAACAATAGTTTAAAAAAACTAACAAAATACGCTTTTATAGAAAATCCAACTAGAAAATAAATTTTAGTAAATGTGAATTAAAAATAGTGTGAGAAAAATTATTTTATTGTAAAAAAAAACGTGGGGTGCTTTTCAGGATATAATCAAAATAACCCTTCTACTCATATCTGTTCATAAAATATTTATAACTACTTATACCATGCATGCACCCCTTTTTAAAATTATTATTTATTTTTCATGTTTTAGATGAATTTAAATTTTTTATATTTTTTTATATTGAATTGTCATCGGTCCTTAATAAGTATACCAAATTTCGAGTTAATCCGACGTTTTGAAGGGGTCAAAATCATGTTCAAATATTCCGTTACATACTAAGATACATACGTCTGAAGCTAATAAAAGCGTATTAATAAAAAAAGAGGGTAGGTACCTCTGTTAGTCAACTCCTTCTCGAAGATCTCCAGCGTCTGAATTATCTGCTCACTTCCGAAAGCGAAGTTCGTGTCGAAGCATTCTAGGCTGCCTTTTATGAGCTGTGAATGAAACAAGTTACTGGTGGTAGGACCTCTTGTGAATCCGCGCGGGTAGGTACCACCACCCCGCCTATTTCTGCCGTGAAGCAGTAATGCGTTTCGGTTCGAAGGGCGAGGCAGCAATTGTAACTATACTGAGACCTTAGAACTCATATTTCAAGGTGGGTGGCGCATTTCTGTCGTAGATGTCTATGGGCTCCAGTAACCACTTTACACCAGGTGAGCTGTGAGCTCGTTCACCCATCTAACCAATAAAACAAAAGGAAGACGGTTTTATTCGCTTTGTTTGCGGCTGGGTACCGTCGCCCGTGGACATCAGCAATGACAGGGGCGGAGCCAAGCCGCTGCCTACAATTGAGTACTCTCCGCATATCTCGTATGAAGATGTGTATGGTTAACGTTCTGAGGATTTTTTCGTTGATAGACATAAGGACTTTTTGTGACCACACACCATACTGGCTTGGATGACGTGTGCTTCTTTAGAAGAGGTTTGAGGAGTCTCAATAGAAAGCAGTAGCTTGGTTGTGTCCCTGATATTACTGAAGTGGTTTGACTCGGGTGTAATGAAATCTGCGTAATTACTGGTGGTAGGGCGTTTTGTAAGCCCGCAAGGGTAGGTACCACCGCCCTGCCTATTTCTGCCGTGAAGCAGTAATGCGTTTCGGTTTGAAGGGCGGGGCAGCCGTTGCACTGTTAAAACTGAGTCCTTACAACTCATGTATCGAGGTAGGTGGCAGCATTTACGTTGTAGATGTCTATGGGCTCCGATAACCTCTTAACACATGAGCTGGTCCCCCTATCTCAGGAAAAAGAGAGTCCATACTAGACGGTCCTGTCAAAGACACTAAAAAAAATCTGTTGTGATTTTCAAATTTCGTCTTAAGTCCTTCGCGATAAGACCTTCATTTATAACTTAATTTTACAGAAAACATCGCATCGATATTGAACCGTTAAACTATTGTTTTTACATGTTCATTTAAGCTTATGACGTCATTACGGATCCTCCCGATCCACTAACGGTGCTTTTAGGTACTTCAAGCATCGTTCTCGTCGAACCCGTCGCTTGCGACGAAGGGATCGCCGCGCGAGTGAATTAACCCATAGACACAGCCCACTGAGTTTCTCGCCGGATCTTCTCAGTGGGTCGCGTTTCCGATCCGGTGGTAGATTCTGCGAAGCACTGCTCTTGCTAGGGCCAATGTTAGCAACACTCTGGTTTGAGCCCCGTGAGCTCACTTACTTGTTAGGTTACGCTAATATAGCCTCTCAACGTAACGTAACGTAAGGCTGCGTAGCGTTTTTTCGTTACGTGACGTCTCCTATCAAGCAGCCATACGCGGCTTCGTTCTAAATTATCGCTAGATCTGTTTCCTGACCTCGTTGAATCTTTCGATCAGCAACCGGTCCTGGGCCTTGACGTAAGGGTCGTGGGAGTGGAGCGTGTGCCTCGTGTACTTCTCATCCAGGTAATCGCAGATCACGACGCTTTCGAAGAGGAACCTGTCCCCCTGGTCCGTAGGAATCTCCAGCACCGGAATCTTCACTGCAGAAAAAGAATAAATCTTGATGGCGTTTTTAGTGAGCCTTTGTATAATACACCGGTGGTAGGACCTCTTGTGAGTCCGCACGGGTAGGTACCACCACCCTGCCTATTTCTGCGTGAAGCAGTAATGCGTTTCGGTTCGAAGGGTGGGGCAGCAGTTGTAACTATACTGAGACCTTAGAACTCATATTTCAAGGTGGGTGGCGCATTTACTTTGTACATATCTATGAGCTCCAGTAACCACTTAACACCAGGTGGGCTGTGAGCTCGTCCACCAATCTAAGAAGAAAAAAAAAAGTTAATGGTGACGTCATTTGGAGCCATGAGCTAAACGTGGATCTGGTAAATTGTAAAGATTTAATGTATAGTACGACGGCTTCTCGGTAGAAATATGGGGGATGGTGGTACATGTCTGAATGGGCACAAAATACCACCAGTAATCAAGTTTTTTTTTCTCAATGAACGGTTTTTATTATTGTTTAGTTTTCCTTTTTTTTATTGCCCTTGTAGGCAGACGGGCACACGGCCCACCTGTTGGTAAGCGGTTACCGTCGTCCATGAACTTCGGCAATGCCAGGAGCAGAGCCAAGCCGCTGCCTACCGTTAAGTACTCTTAAACGCTGTGGAGGGGAGCTCATTCCAAAGCCGGATGGTACGTGGCAAAAAAGATCTCATTTGGTTTAAAGGGTGGGGCAGCCGTCGTGGCTGTACTGAGACCTTAGAACTCATATCTCAAGGTGGGTGGCGCATTTGCGTTGTAGATTTCTATGGGCTCCAGTAACCAGGTGGGCTGTGAGCTCGTTCACCCATCTAAGCAATAAAAAAATTGAAATAATATCCAGTACATCGGGCGTCTTTGGAGCATAGACGCTATGCCAACGTACTCACATCTGGGGTTCTTCGCACGGAACCACTCCGGCAGCCTCAGCGGGTCGAGCCTGTAAACCTCATACTTGATCCGCTTGGCTTCGAGGACGAGGAGCACCCTGTGACCGTACGGGTTCATGTCGACATGGTACAGACGGAGCTTGTCCGTCAGAGCCGGTGGCGGAATGACACCTGGAATTTGAATTTTTCTTCAGCTTTAATAGCTTTCGATTTTTAACCTTTAAAAGAGAGGAGAAGGTTCTCAATTCGACGGTTTTTTGTGTATTAATTGCTTAGATGGATGGACGAACTCAGGGCCGACCTGGTGTTGAGTGGTCACCGGAGGTCGTAGACATCTACAACGTAAATGCCGTCACCCACCTTGAGATATAAGTTCTAAGGTCTCAGTATAGTTACAACGGCTGCCCCACCCGTCAAACCGAAGCTAGCAAAGGCTCAGCCAGGAGGGGTGGGATTTGCTAACAGCTGCCCGAGCGCCTCCAGAAGACCTAACAACTCAAGTGCAGCTGCTTCGCCGAGTGAATCTCCTACCGGATCGGAATCGCGACCCGCCGATTCTATTGTGCAACAAACGGGAATTTCTAACCGGAAAATCTATCAGGACATTTACGATAGAAATGGTGGTTAAAACGTCGAGACGTTGCGAAACGCGACCATTAGCTGCAACTATTGTGTGGTAATGCATCGTGAACCTTGACACACATTACGAATGAGCATGAAGGCGAATAAGAGTGCTGTGTCAACGGCACGTACTTAACTACACGTGGCGAACGAACACGCCGAAATTCTCCATGTTATTAGTAAGTATTAACGAAAAACCAACCCAATTTATATAATGCAAGAAAGACGAGAATTGCATAAAATAATAAATATTTGTTAATTTGTGATCAAAGTTTAAAGTTTCGCGGACGATGAAATAAATAAAGGAAAAACCAATGATATATATTTAAAATATAGACTCCTTATTCGCGCTTCCTTCATTCGACTTTTTAACTGGTGGTAGGACTTCTTGTGAGTCTGCACGGGTAGGTACTACCGCCCTGCCTATTTCTGCCGTGAAGCAGTAATGCGTTTCGGTTTGAAAGATAAGAGCAGCCGTTGTAACTATACTGAGACCTTAGAAGTTATATCTCAAGATGAGTGGCGCATTTACGTTGTAGATGTCTACGGGCTCCAGTAACCACTTAACACCAGGTGGGCTGTGAGCTCGTCCACCCTTCTAAGCAATAAAAAAAAACATTCGAGATTTCAATATACGCGAATTAAAAAAAATGCGACCCAATATGCGACTAAAGATTCGCCAATCTAATTAATATATCAGTACATGCACATTGATAAAAAGGATTCTAATATATACATATCCAACCGAATATCCTTTTTTTATCGCGGGCTTTGAGCGCGGCGACCGAATCAAGAAATTCCGTAACGAAAATAAAACCTAACACCCCCCCACTCCGCCTACCATGTAGCTCGCGTTCAAGACATTCAAACGTTGCGTATAGTGTTTGTGAATAAGCACGCGGCGTGACGTCGCACTGCATGCGCATCATGAAAAATCTGCCCATTTTTCTCTCGCGCGGTCTAGGCTATGAGTGTGAAGGAGACTGTTAATGTTTTGCTTTTGTTAATGTTTATAAAGATAGCATGGTCTTATTTTATTATTGTTTTAATATATATTTTTATTGCCTTTGTACGCAGACGAGCCTACGGTCTACCTGATGGTAAGTGGTCACCGTCACCCATGGACGTCAGCAATTGGGCAGAGCCAAGCTGCTGCCTACAATTATAATTGCATAAGTTAATAAAAAATGCTATGCAATATCTTTACCGCGGCAGTCCCCGAGTGTTTTATTTTTATTTTGTCACGTCGGAACGTCCTATAACCCGACATATGTAAATTACCATTCCACATTCACGTGTTTCTATATACGCGGCGTATTTACGGAACATATACAACGCGCGAATAAGGAGCTTTTATAGTTATACCCACATGGTATATTTGCGTTGTTATTTATTACGCTTGTACCCCAAGCATTGCTGTTGTCCATGAGCGACGGTGACTACTCACCATCCAGGCGCCATATTGCTTTGCCTTGAATAGCAGTAATAAAAATTGTATTAATCATGAGACTTACAAAATAACTATTTATCTACACCCTGTAGATTAGCGTATCGTTTATACAGGATGTCCCAAAACTCAAAGAGGCCAAGTTATATCGGAGATTTTCAAAGAAGATCGCATTTTTTCTACCTTAATCATTTACCCGCGCGGACTCACAAGAGATCAATTCTGCGAAGCACTGGTGACCCATAACACAGGGAATCCTAATTTGGAGTCGGATGACCGTGCGTGATTTGTTCCCAGTTATTATTTATAATACTATTATTAGTTACTAATGGTCCCTCAATAGTCGAAATTCGACTATAATTAATTTAAATGATAAGTTTGAACATTATTCGGGTTATATTGTAATAACAAATTTCGCCATAGCTACACTATAGATAAATAATATTGAAGACAAACAATATCAATCAATTCTGAATTTTACGACAGACTTCACTATCACTACATAGTATAAAACAAAGTCGCTTTTTCTGTCCCTATATCCCTATATCCCTATGTATGCTTAAATCTTTAAAACTACGCAACGGATTTTGATACGGTTTTTTTTAACAGATAGAGTGATTGAAGAGGAAGGTTTATATTTATAAAAACATCCATAGAGTAGTGGAGAAATCAATAATAAATCACAGTTTCCGAAGCGAAGCGAGGGCGGGTTGCTAGTTAACAATAAACAAAAGAGTATATGAGTCGACTATTATCAAAGCAGGCAATGTGACTTTTGGACAATTATTGGTAAATCAGAAAAACGAATTATTGACTTTGTATTCCATTGGCAGTCACAAAACTCTTCTGAACGATATCTTAGATAAATAACAGGTTAAGTATTAACCTTTATTTAATGCAGGTTTTGAACCGTATTATTTGAAGGAGACGATTATATTCAAATCAATCTGTATTGACATATCAATAACATTTTTTTGTCCAAATGCACAGATTGCCACCTTTGATAATAGACGACTCATATATGCGTGTGTATGTCAAATACATGGTAGTGTGTGTAATGTTTTTTTTATTGATTTCATTTATTTTTATGTACAATTTTTAAAAAATATTTGCATTCTGCACTCCTTCCCTATATTCTCTAAAGTGAAGGTAATTTTAAAGTCCCCCCCCCCCCCCCGTCTGCCCAATTTTCGTAAGAACAGGGTACAATATTTTTTCTTCACGCATTAAGATTACTAGCGGCCCTTTAACAAAAATTTCAACGATATTTGACGTTGTTTTATTTTTTTAAATAAAAGAAAACTTATTGAGGCATAACTATAATAGTTAAGAAATATACTGTCGCGACACTTTTTATAAATAATAATGTGTTCTACAAAGTCGTAGTACATTATTAATCGATGCCTCCAATGAACACTAACTCTAACTCCAAATTCGTAAGTTTACAGGAGGAGAGTTTAAACGAAAAAAGTTGATAAATATATTTGCAATAATAAAGATTTTATGTTTTTTTTCTTGTGTAACTAGCTGATTTACTCTTGCTTCGAACCCCATTAATAATTAATTTGTAATACTTTTAAAATAGTGAAGCGATTTGCGTGAAAAACGAAAATTTCAAAATTTTGAGTTAGAGTAGTGTTCATTGGAGGCATCGATTTTATTCTATCACTAGCGACCCGCCCTCGCTTCGCTTCGGAAACATTAAATTTTATTATTGACCAGGTGAACTGTGAGTTCGAAGACACATGAAACCAAAAAAAAAAAAAAGAATTAAAAAAAAAAGTAGCCTATGTTCATCAGGGACAATGTCGGCTTCTAATGGAAAAAGAATTTTTCAAATCGGTCCAGTAGTTTCGGAGCCTATTCGAAAAAAACAAACAAACAAATCTTTCCTCTTTATAATATTAGTATAGATCAATAGTTTTCGCAGGACACACGATGTAAAGAATATTTTAGGTAATTTCTTTACACCTTGGGTTACATTATTGGAATTTTAGTAAGGATCCCTAATTTTTTTCAAAAAAAGATTATAGCCTATGTCACTCGGGAATAGTGTAGCTCCCAAACAGTGAAAGAATTCATCAGTTCATCATTCAAATCAGTTCAGTAGTTTCGGAGCCTATTCAATACAAACAAACAAACAAACAAACAAATCTTTCCTCTTTATAATATTATATTAGTATAGATAGTATAGATTAACCGTCTTATTTATATTAATCATTTTATTTTCCTTCACATTCCTTTATAGTAAACGCTATCGGTTAAATACACGAATGCAAATAACATTATCGGTCAAAATAATTGGGTTGAACGCGCACAGATCTGCATGAATCTCTCGAAATAAAACTGGGTCACTGAACTCGACGTTGCGATGACCGACATTTTGTTTACACTCTACTTGTTAGATAGAATAACAAAAATATACGTAGGTTTTTTTTTTACCTCACTCACGGACTCAACCTCAAAGAGTTTGCCAACACTAGCCCTTTTCTTTTCTTCCTACCTATGCTGATAGCCTTGAGAGACTATTTCAGCTTTACCTTAGCGTGTAGGTGAGCTCACGGGGCTCAAACCGGAGGTGTTGCTAACACTGGCTCTAGCAAGAGCAGTGCTTCGCAGAATCTACCGCCGGATCGGAAACGCGACCCACTGAGAAGATCCGGCGAAAAAATCAGTCTATGGGTTAATTTACTCGCCGAGCCCTTCGTCGCAAGCGACGGGTTCGACGAGGACGGTGACCGATGCTTGGGGTACCTAAAAGCACCGTTAGTGGATCGGGAGGATCCGTAATGTGTCTAGGGTAACGTTGACTGTTTAACATTCGATCCACAGGATCGGGTATGCATTAGCCCTAGCAAGAGCACTGCTTCGTTAAATCTACCATTGGATCATAATCGCGATCCACCGAGAAGATCGAGAAGGGGAAAAAGGAAATTAGGCAGCGGTTTGGCTCCGCCCCTGGCATTGCTGAAGTCCATGGGCGACGGTAACCACTCACCATCAGGTGAGCCGTATGCTCGTCTGCCTACAAGGGCAATAAAAAAATGCTAGTTTAAAACAATACAAAAATATAATATTCGGCAATTTCCCACATGCATCGTGTTCTGGTGTTTTTCATCAAATCAGCATCATCATCATCATCATCACAGTCGGCTACTCTTGGATAAGCTGTCGTGGTTATGTGGACACCTTGTTTATTAAAGCCTTGAGATGTGGTCCTCCATAGTTCGCGAACTGAGGCTTGATGCACGCACTCGTTAAGCGGGGTTTTGGTAAGGATTTGATCAGTCCAACGCATAGGACTGTTATAGTTTTTAATCGATTTCAAATAAGGAGGAGATTCTAAATTGAGCCGTATTTTCCTGTGTGTGTTACGTCAGTAAAGAGATGAGCCCATTTCGATGTTTCTTTAAAAGGTTTTGCTTTTCATTTACTTTGTATCAAGACCTGACCTGTTTCTGAGTTATCCTTAACAATGCATGTTTCGCAGGCATCTTTAATGTATTTCGACTATATAAATACTAAATGAATAAATCATGCACGGGCATCCGGTCCCAAATTAGGATTCCCTGTGTTATAGGTAGCAGAGACTGAGATTAGGATTCCCTGTGTTATAGGTATCAGAGACTGATAAACATACTTATATACGTTTTTAAATATATAGATAATAAACACCCAGACGAAGAGCAAACCTGTTCATCACGCAATGCTTGCCCGATATGGGAATCGAAACTACGACCCTCTGCGCAAAAGTCAGGGCCGCTAACTACCGCACCTTCTTTCTTTTTCTTACCCATTCGCTGGTAGCCTAAGGGGCTATTCTAGCTACGCCTAGACGGGTAGGAGAGCTCACGGACTCAACCTGAGAGAATTTGCTAACACTGGCCCTAGCAAGAGCCGTGCTTCGCTGAATCTACCACCGGATCGGAATCGCGACCCACTGAGAAGATCCGGCGAGAAACTCAGTTGGCTGTGTCTATGGGTTAGTTCCCTCGTCGAACTTTTCGTTGGAATCGACGAGTTCGACGATGGTAATAAAAAGAAATGCTTGAGATTTTAAATACTACATATTGATTTACTACACAAGTCACGAAAAATATTTAATTTTTCAACACAGCACACTTGACTGTTTAAAACTGTTATATTCACATCATTTCCACTTCCAACACTAGCGCTATGTCGGTGAGTCTTCCAACAACAACGCGCTGTTTACAGACGGACACTTCATCAACTTGTCCCCTATACAAGATGGCGCTCCTTACTTCTACCCTCCATACGTACAGGTTACGTCGAAATATCTAGTTCTCTTATGCATTCTCGTTGATTCTGGCTAGACGTTGACAGAATTAAAGATTTTTAGGTTTTAATCTCTTCTTAGCTGTATCTCATGGCATACTTAAAATGTAACGTCCACTAACGCACTTCGGTGACTAGGAAAAGCGTATTTGAAACGTCGCAAACATTATGTTACGCCGACAGGAGTAACGCCATCTATCGCCGAATAGTCGAACGAATGTCAAAGGATTTAGTAGCACCTAGAACGCTTGAGAGGTACAATGCCATCTATTGTCAGATAGCGGAAACACAATACTAGAAATATGTGGAATATTCTCGATAAATCTAGGGATGTCGTATCGACTATAAAAGCGTTGCAGAGATGGCACGCATTCAGTTAGTAATCAGAACTACTCAAAACCAAACAGCGAACGGATCACCTGAAGCGAATTGAGAATTTTAAACTGTTTCAAGTGTTCTAAGTGTTGAATACAATTTTTAGTTGTACTTTGGTGGAATTTTATTTATCCCGAACCCCAGCCCGTAACAATTATAATGACACTAAGCTATGTGAATGATTTGTCGCATTTATTTCCACTGTCCGGTTTATATATGCTGAATTATCAAACCCATAACTTTCCTTTAGTACTGGGGATGTTTTTTTCTTTATAATGCCGTAAAAAGACAGGCGGCAGGGCCGTCTTGTGCGGGCGCTACTGGTCCAAGACTCGTTTGCCTTGGATTCAAAGAATGTGAAAGAAAGCGCTTAAAAGGAACACGTGAACTTTTAGCGGGAACGCAGGTAGTAAGCTCGTTTAAGCTCTTATATTATGTTAATTTAGTGTTTCTTCAATTTTAAAAGTGTTTGGTGTACGGATATCGAAATAGAGTCACGGACGTGGCCTCGCGGGCTCATCCAAGTCGTCGTGGCCTAAAGGATAAGGCGTCCGGTGCATTCGTATGTAGCGATGCACCGGTGTTCGAATCTCGGAAGCGGGTACCAAATTTTCTAATCAAACACGTATTCAACAAATGTTCGCGATTGACTTCCACGGTGAAGGAATAATATCGTGTAATAAAAATCAAACCCGCAAAATTATATTTTGCGTAATTACTGGTGGAAGGACGTCTTGTGAGTCCGCACGGGTAGGTACCACCACCCCGCATATTTCTGCCGTGAAGCAGTAATGCGTTTCGGTTTGAATGTTTGTATCTATACTGAGACCTTAGCACTTATATCTCAAGATGGGTGGCGAATTTACGTTGTAGATGTCTATGGGTGCCAGTAACCACTTAACACCAGGTGGGCTGTGAGCTCGTCCACCCATCTAAGCTTTACACTTCAAGGAGAAGCTGAAATAGCCTCTCAAGGCTATCAGCATAGGTAGGAAAAAAAAGATGGACTTTTTTCAAAACAACATAACAATAAGACTTGTTGACTTGACAACCGTCATAAAAATAAAAAAATAAAAATGAGCTATGTATGTACCTACTTTTTCGTGCGCCATTTAAGTACACACATACTAAGTAGGTATGTTATAATCCAAACAATTAAAATTCGTTAAATGACATTGGCGGAGTCCTGCCGGTAATTTCGCATTACAGTTTAAAATAAATGTCCTTGCTCATTATTTATCGTCTAGAATGCATTCTCAATTGTCTTGTGTAGTTAAACAGTTGTTTAATGGTTCAAATGAGAATTCAAAAGGTAATTGTTTCCGAAATTTTGAGTCTACTTTACTTACTTACTTTTGTATTAAAACATTATTTTAGGACATTACATAATTTTATTGTTTGCTCATTTAGCTTTTTGAGTGTGTGCATATAATTATAATTGTACAACTTAACATTTTATGAAATATTTATATCATAATGAAGAGAAATTTCATTTTCTTTAATAGGTTATCTTTGGTTAATATTTTATTTTTCTCAATGACAAATGTATAAAGAATCTTTTAATATTAAAAGAAGTAGGTACCTACACAATCGTTATTTATTTTCAACAAATTTGTACTTTAAATTGGTTTAAAACAAAAAAAAAATGATAACACACTTACCGGCGTTTACGGAGTGAAAATAAGTCATGTTTTCACGTAGTTATTATTATATTGTACATATAATTTTTATCACTTCGATTACTTGGATTGTAGCCGTGTGCACATTGCCGCTATACTCGTCGGAATAGGTGAATACGTCACTTTTAAAATTAAGCCACCGTATGACATCACTCGCGACCCGATTATCAACTATGCGGCTGATTTAGCGACAACACAACATTTCGTATTTTTCTACGTCGACAGTCTATTTTAAATTTAGCCGGGTTTTACCTAGAAGGCCGTGCGGACCTACCTATGTTTTTTTTTTATCGCTTATCCGTGTACCTACTTTGAATAAAAATTTTCTTTTAATTATTAATTATTTGGATACCTACGTAACGAAATGAATTTTGTCAGGTGTGACTCATCAATTAGCCTCAAATCTGGCGCGACAAGGACAATAACATTAGTGTGTTTGATATCAATATTATAATAAATTATTTATAGGTTTACGCACTTTACACATCATTTTGAATAAAAGACGTTTTTTATTTTATAATTAAACTTTTTACATTCACGGCTTAGGTAAGTGTTATTGTCAAAGATAGTTTGTATCTCGATCGATTTTTTTAAAGCTTTGACAATATGTTTATGATTCTAAAAAAACAAACAACACTTTTAATTTTAAAACAGTGTATATAAATGTACAATATTTATTTAATTTACTAAATAGTTTAAGTTGATATTCACTGTATTGTTTTATCAATAAATATTAATTGTTGAAAAAACATATACATATTTGCATTAACAAAACGTTTGATATTATTACCTAAAAATTTAATTTCTAACTTCATGGTAGATTTTATCAAGCAGCAATTTGTAATGTTTCATTTTTTTAAATCCAAATAAGGAAATCGTTTCTATGTTAATAACTCTAAATCTAAACATAATAAATCCGTAGATGTAATTATAGCATAAAAAATCCAAAGCTGGTATTTTTTGTTTCTAATGATATCAAATGGTATGTAAAACTTTAATTTTAAATATTTCCAAATACGTAAAACAAAAAAAAAAATTCATATTTTGTTTTGTCTGTACTCTCAACTTACTTTAATTCAAATTGTAGGCTGTTTTTTAAATATCCTCTGATATTAACTAGCACGATTTTATAATATTATTCGTGGATCCCATAAATAAAATGTATATTTCATCGTCAACCAAGATCAATTTAGAGATCAGCAAGATCAATAATTCCTTAGTGTATTTGAATAAATATTTCGCATTCGGACATGACAAACGAAGCGAAAGCGTGCCACTTAGTGGATGTGAGCCGCAACTACTCGTCAAATATTGGCTCACTTCGGGTGGTGTGGTTCGCAGTGGTGTGGCAGAGCCGAAGTGTCATCGCTCGGGTGGAAACAAAACACATGCCTGACTTAGGAAGAGTGAAGATGTCTCAGAACTGTTTCCATGTCATGCTGTGCAATCTCTTTCTACGATTACCCACCTAATACCATACTCATACACAGTTGTTCGTTAAATTTACAAGATATATTTGCATATATGTACATATTTCGAATGATAACGTTCGGACCGTCAGTCTACCAAACAATTTCACCCGCTCGGTAAAGATCTTTTCTTTGTCGTTTACCTTCAAATATATTTATATACCAGTATGTCTCTTATATATTATATTGCCTCTTTTTTAATTTAAAGTGACTTAATAAAACTCCCTACTTAATATGACTTATTATACCTTATAGGTTTTTGCTCTCAATGATTATATTTTTGTTCTTTTTGGTCAAGTATTTGTTTGATTCAGTAAGATAGATGGTTGCTTTACTTCTATTTTAAAAACAATACCATTGCCGAACCTTCTCTTCTAAATATGATCAATGTAATTTTTTTCTTCCAAAAGTAGCGTTGATGTTTTTTTATTGCTTACGACGAGCGTTTTACCTGAAACCTGATTTTAAGTGGTTACCGAAGCCCAAATACATCTACAACGTATATGCTGCCACCTACCTTGAGATATGAGTTCTAAGGTCTCAGTTTTTACAGCACAACGGCTGCCTCACCCTTTAAACCGAAACGCATGCTTCACGGCAGAAATATTTTTTTTTATCATTGAAAGATTACTGGTGGCCCGGAGGCCTTTCCAGTTTCACCAGGACAGGTGGGCGAGCAAAGGCTCAGCCAGGAGGGGTGGGATTTGCTAACAGCTACCCGAGCGCCTCCGAAGGAGACCTAACAGCCCAAGAGTAGCTGCTTCGCGAATGAATGTACTACCGGATCGGAATCGCGACCCGCTGAGAAGATCCGGCGAGAAACTCAGCGAGCTGATTCATGGGTTAGGTTGCACGGCGAACTCTTTGTCGAGCTCGACGAGTACGATTACCGAGGTCCCTAAGCCTGCTCCTAGTGTTAGAGCTGAAGGCGTCTAATGCAAAGGTTATTGGATCTGATGGAGGCAGAAATAGGCATTGTGGTGGTACTTACACGCGCGGACTCACAAGACGTCATAGTACTAATGATGTAAAATAGTAATGTTAAACCAGTGATGTTAAAATAGTTGTTTTTAAATTTCCGAGCTGAAAACATTATATTTGACAGAAGTCAGAAATGTCAGAATCAACATAAGTCACACCTCTATCACTGTCACACTAACACAAATCTGTATAAAGGCATCCTTGTCATTTTTGTTTATCAACAATGCCAAATGACACTGCACATCATTTTTACTAATATTACATTTACAATAAACCTACAATTTTCGATTTTCACATAATTTTATCATAAAATTGAAATGCAAAAATGTTATAATCGGCATATACTGCGTTGCTGCAAATTTAATAAATGTTATTTTAGTGTTTATGTCTAACGTGATCTTATTTACAAAGTTTTCGGAATTATTAACAAGGTAACTAGTGTAAATGTACGAACATATGAATTAATGTTTGATTTGTTAAATTAATAATAACCATGAAATCAATAGGATTTATTTTATTAGTTTTATTTTATTTTATAATCACTATTTACGTCTGTTGCTTGATAAAAGCTCAAAATTTTAATCCTAATTTTCTTGATGTTAAAATTTTTTAAATTGAGCCCCGATAAAGTTGTTACTTGAAAAAAACTTACTATTAATAAACATGATTTTACTGCAAGGTTTAATTGTTTAATTTGAATACAACATGACGACACATTGAATATATTAAATAAAAAGAATTGTTAAAGTTTAATTTCATAGACATTTCACAGGTATTATCTATATTTAGTGAATTTACGTATATATATTTGTAATGCATTGTATTTATTATATAAACAATATGAATGCCACATCCACTTTGAGGTATGAGTTCAAAGTTTACAGTTGTATTCTGTATCTGTTTTATTTCTGGCTTCAAACGGAAAATATAAGGGGATAGTATTATATCATTGACCTATCTCATATATGATTATGCCACATTTCTCAGAGCCCTACATTGTCTCAGACAGAGCAGTGGGAGGCAGTGTATGAATCAATACGACAACAAAACACACTTTTATAACAAAATGCTAATCGTCAATGGACATCAACAAAGTCCCGCTTCTCGAGACATGAATTTTAGTCCCAATTTTACAGTATTATGTCTGCCCCACAATACAAATTGAAACTCATTACTGCTTCATGGCAGAAATAAGTAGGGTAGTGGTACCTACCCATGCTGGCTCACAAGACTCCCTACTACCAATAGAAGTATAATGTAGTATCTTGAAATCATTGTCAATGTCTTTATTGTCTTTGAACCTAAATTGACGACTAGTGCTGTTGAATCTGCTTGTTGATTTATGCTAAGTTGATTGTGTGTGACTTGGTAACCAGGGATCAGGAGAATGTTTGGGATGAAACATTCTAGAGCTAGTGGAACTATATCTGGAAATTCTTTATAGACAATTGGCCTAGATTTTACTCGAGTGGCATGAAGGGGTGATCGGGATTGTTCGTACTTTTTCCAGGGATCATGTCCGATATCATGATAGATCCGCTGCTGATCAAAGAGGAGATCATAGAGATATCCGACGAGGAAGAGGCACCAAAGAAACGGTGAGAGTGTATTTTTATCGATCATATTAGGAGTTTGATTGCTTATGTTGGTAGTCACTGAAAACTATACCATTGTTGAAATCCTTGAGGTATGAGATTTAATCGTATAATTTTTAATGCCGGACCTATTCTTCAAACCGAAACGCAGTGCTCCTTTGTTGCAGAAATGAGCGTTGTGGTGGTACATACTCGTGTGGGTTCATATGTCCTACCAGGAGTGTATAAGGCATATTATAAGGCACTTGTCAAAGAGATTCTTAGGACTTGCATTTCTTAATTATTGTCTCCATCCTCCATCGACGCAATCTGTTGACTTTCCAAGTGAAACAATATGTGCTAATAAATAATAAATATAAGCATAAACAAAAAATGGCGGTAATAACAATAAAAAACATGGCGTCTTACGCACTTCCCTAATTCACAGGAGGGTACGTAAGAAAAGGGCCCCATCGGAGCGCTTGCCTTGCGATCAGTGCGAGAAGACATTTGTCACGAATTACGAGCTAAAGAAACACACGAGGACCCATACGGGTGAAAGACCCTACATGTGCACGACGTGCGGCAAAACCTATACCCAACTAGGTCACCTCAGTACTCACCAGCTCACTCACAGAGGTATAAAGAACTTCCACTGCGGCGAATGTTATATGGCGTTTTACAGGCGAGCCGATTTAGATAGGCACGAGAAAGTGCACACTGGCGAGAAGCCATACACTTGCGAGGTGTGCTCGAAGAGTTTCACTCAGAAGAACAATCTGGTGATGCACCTGAAGATGCATTTGGGTGACAGGGCCCACGAGTGTCCGGTCTGCAGAAAGAGGTTCATGACGAAAAGCAAACTGGCCTCGCATTCGAAGAGGCATGATAAAGAGAGAAAGAACAAAAGGTTTCACGATGTGGAGTTTGAGTGAAGCTTAGTGCTTTGGTCGTCCGCGCCAGGATCGATACCGGAGTCTGCGAATCAGTACCGCGAAGCAAGAGAATACCGGGTGTTTCTACAGCAAACCACCATAAAAATGGGTTATTAGTTAAAGTAATATGGTGAATCGTTGTTTTTGTGAAGTGTTTAATAGTATTTGTGTTATATTGTAATGGTATTTGTAAATCTGGTTTAGCTTTTTCACGAAACTAAGTTTCAGTAGTATCTAAAGATGTGTAGCTCCTGAGTGAGTGATTTAAAAGATATATATCACTCACGCCGATAGAATGTATGACTAACTCACACTAGCTCCGACTGTATCATGTATGACATGTATCGTGAACTAGCGGCCCGCTCCGGCTCCACTCGAGTCTTTAACAAAAATTTCAACGATATTGATTTTTTAAAATAAAAGAACACATATTGCGGCATAACTATAATAGTTAAACATATTATGCTGTCGCGACACTTTTTGTAAATATAATAATAATGTATTCTACAAAGTCAGTACACAGTACATCATTTTATTCTATCATTAATAGTTTTCGCAGGGCACGCGATGTAAAGAATATTTAATTTTTAGGTATTTTTTTTACACTTTGGATTACATTATTGGAGTTTTTGTAAGGATCTCTAATTTGTTTCAAAAAAGATTATAGCCTATGTCACTCAGGAATAGTGTAGCTTCCAAACAGTGAAAGAATTTTTCAAATCGGTTCAGTAGTTTCGGAGCCTATTCAATACAAACAAACAAACAAATCTTTCCTCTTTATAATATTAGTATATATATAGATTGATGAGCGAATGAAAGAAAAATGAATGAATGAGATAGATGCATTGTGTGGCCGGCTGACCATTACTTCACGCTAATTTAGTTTCGATGTATTGGGTTGTCAAGGAAAAATGTACATTATTTCGGAGCAAAGCTTATATTTTTAAAACTAAATTTATATTTGCTTTATTCTTACTTAAAAAGGTAGCCATTAATTTTCAAAGTTAATATTACGAATATTGCGATGCTATATATTAAAAAAAAAAATATTTAAAAAAGTTTATTAATGTGTTTAGTTCTATTTTAGGCTGCATGTTGTAAATATTCAATGTTTAATCATAAAACAGTGTAAATGAGGCCTATAAAATCAAAGGCAGCTAAACGCCTTAATGTCGTAAAATGGATTAACAATGGCGCTATCTTGTTTAGTTAGTTGGACACGCTTTAGTGTTTTCATGTTATAACAAATGCAGCTAAATCTCTAACAAATTCAGATCAAAATTTTTATTTTTACTCCGTACTAAGAACTAATAAACGAAGTTTTATCATTTAAAACTCAGATTATTAGTAATATTCTCATTCTTTATAAATGTGATTTAAAATAAAGAATATCGTAGCTATCCGAACAAAGTTATTTCAGCTTCTCAAACCGGGAGTGTTGCTAACACTGGCCCTACCAAGAGCAGTACTTCGATGGATCGGGAGGATCCGTAATTACGTACTTAGGGCCGATTTTTGTAGTTTACCTGAATATTTGACAGACTTGGATTTAGCTGCCTTTGATTTTATAGGCCTCAAATGAACTATATTGTGTATTAGTAAGTATATATATAGGCCCTGACAGTTACAAAATTAACTGACCATTGTAAATAATCCAATACAAGGTGAGTAATATACAGTATACGTAAGTATACTGAGCTAAATGATCTAGACCAAGAAATGAATTAATTGGGAGATCAATCAATTGAATTGGATCACTGAGCTAGTGATCTAAATGAGCTAGTGAGCTAAATGAGTGATATATATCTTTAGAGTGAAATGATATATATCTATCTTTTCTATGCTGTCTATAGTTAAACCTTGTATGATTTAATGTCTATGATCAGCCCATTGTTTAATATAGCCTCAAATGACGTAATGCTGGTACGTTCCAGTGAATTTTGGAAAGTTTTCCCTATAACTTTACATACGTTTGGAAAGGCTTCGTAGTTTCTATTTGGAAGTTTGGAATGTTTAACGACAAAGGGAAGATCTTTCACCGCACGAATGATATTGCTCGGTAGACCGACGGTCCAAATGTTGTTGTTCGGAACTTGTATATATGCAAGCTTATCTTGAAAATGCCGTTTTTTTTTATTGCTTAGATGGGTGGACGAGCTCACAGCCCACCTGGTGCTAAGTGGTTACGGGAGCTCATAGACATCTACAACGTAAATGCGCTACCCACCTTGAGATATAAGTTCTAAGGTCTCAAGTTTAGTTACAACGGCTGCTCCACTCTTCAACCCGAAACACATTACTGCATCACAACAGAAATAGGCGGGGTGGTGGTAGCTACCCGCGCGGACTCACAAGACGTCCTACGACCAGTAATTTCGCAAATTATAATTTTGCGGGTTTGATTTTTATTACACGATGTTATTCCTTCACTGTGGAAGTCAATCGTGGACATTTGTTGAGTACGTATTTCATTAGAAAAATTGGTACCCGTCTGCGAGATTCGAACACCGGTGCATCGCTAGATACGAATGCACCGGACATCGTATCCTTTAGGCCACGACGACTGTCATGACAAATGACATGTTTTGGGCTGTACAGAGCATTCCACGCAACGGCTTATAAAGAAGTAATTCCCCACCCGACGATACCGCAATCGTGCTGCCATCTCTCGGGAATCGTGCTGCGAACTAATGACCATCTCCGACACTTAAATTTATATTTAAGATCAATTTGTTACTACCAAATGTGCATTAGAAATAAATTATAAATTATTGTATTTAAGGTTCACTATGGTTCACTATTTTGGCTATAACGGCTTACATATAAAATATAGATATATGCTGTCACGGGTTTTTTTTTAAGACTATTTAAGATAAACATTTCCACTTTACATTATACACGTGTAACTCCAACGGTTTTTGCGGCGCACGTCAAAATGGCTCGCAGATGGCATATTTTTTTCCTACTTACTTGACATTAATCGTTATATTTTGGGTAATTTACACTATATCTTTATAAGTCATAGCCTATGTGTTATTCTGATGTGTAAGCTATATTATTGTAAAGTTTCATCAAAATCCATTCAGTAGTTTTTAAGAGTAAGATTTAAAGAGTAATAAACATAATCCATACGTTCTCACAAACTTTCGCATTTATAATATTAGTATTTCGAGTGAGCTTGTACGATATCGTACACCTTAGGGTCCTACATTGACTGCTTCAGATCGACACGAGTAATCGCCACGAGACGGGCATCCGGCGTCTTATAGGATTTCAAGCCGCGCCAATAAAGAAACGAATGGACAATGGCGTCTGTGTACCTGCACTGACCGGTGGTAGGGTCAACAAATAAAAAGAAATATAGAAAGAAAAAGTTGTTTATTGTAAAAAAAATTATAAAAAAGCAAAGGAGAATGTACTTTACTTTACTTTATGCCCTGGCAGAGGGTGAGGTGTCTCATCTGGGATGCAACTTGCGTAAACACTTTTGCTGCCAGTCATCTAAGTCGCACAACTCCATAGTGAATAAACTCGAACTCAACAACAAAGTCAGGACTGATAATTTTTTTGCATGTTGTACGCGTCGTGTGTGACTAAAGACAGCAATAGTTTAGAGTGAGAGCGCATGATCGCCGCCGCCATTTTAGATTCGTTTCTTTATTGGCGCGGCATGTAGGATTCAAGTTTTCGCGGGTAGGAGATTTTGACGAAGGATGCTTGTGTGAATTGTGGTCACCAGTACCACTCCATAATATCCCGTCGATTTGGTAAGGCGACTTAGGGTATCACCGCAGAGTTGGCAGTGGCGTTCTCTAAGTATAATATGAGTGCTCAAAGAGTGTTCACGAGTGCTCAAAGCGCGTAAGCAGTACAATCACGAGGACGCACGATTGAAAGCCTGTCAGCAATTAATTTGTATTGTTAAGTACGCATCCGACTGACCTTGTACCATGGGAAATGGAGATTCATACTCACATGTGGATCGCTACACGCTAACGGTAACCACTGATACATACATTTTATTTTTATTTTTTTATTGCATAGATGGGTGGCCGAGCTCACAGCCCACCTGGTGTAAAGCGGTTACTGGAGCCCATAGACATCTACAACGTAAATGCGCCACCTACCTTGAGATATAAGTTCTAAGGTCTCAAGTATAGTTGGATCATTACCAGAACTGCCGGATAAGCTAAGCGGAACTAGGTATTATTCCCCTACACAGGTTTTAACGTTCTAACATCTAGAGCTCTCTCTGTAATTTGTAGCATCAATAAGCATATCGTAGCTTTAAGTGTTGTAAAAAGCGTATTGTTATTTTAAAATAAACGTTTTTAAATTAAATACATAAAATAGTCTGCTTTTTTTGTATGATCTCACTTTTTTTTTATTGCCCTTGTAGGCAGACGAGCATACGGCCCACCTGAAGGTGAGTGGTTACGGTCGCCCATGGACTTCAGCAATGCCAGGGGCAGAGCCAAGCCGCTGCCTAAACTTCGAACATTCGTTTTAATTGCGATAACGTTGTGAATGTTTTGCGTTTAAATGTAGTATAAGGATAAACTTATTGACTCACTCCGAAGTTCCTTAATGCGTCTTCAAATTTATTTATTTATTTTTATTTATTTTATAACTTCATATACTAGAAAGTATAAAGGCGGACTTAATGCCATAGGCATTCTCTAACAGTCTACCTTAGGGGAGTGCAGAGATGAATGATAATCTTGGTAGGTGTAGTGTGATAGTGATATTACTTAAACATATGTTTATATCTAACATACATAATATTTATAGATACAAATACTCGTACTTAAATAAATACATATATATAAATATATAGATACACATAAATATATACATATCATAAATATATACATATATAAACAAATATTATCAATTAGATGACTCTGCTAACTCTTTGAGAAACAGTTCTCGAACCTTCGTCTTAAACGCTTCACGTGTAGTGGCCGACCTTATTTTGAGTGGGAGCGCATTCCATAGAAGAATAGACTGAATAGTGAATGAAGAATGTAAAAAGTCAGAACTAAATTTACTCGCTTGCGAGATCTTTATTGGTTGTTTTTCTAAATAATGGCTTAGATAAGTGGACGAGCTCACGGCCCACCTGGTGTTGAGTGGTTATCGGGGCCCATAGAGATCTACAATGCAAATACCGTCAACCGCCTGGAGATTCTAAGGTTCACTTTTAACAGTACAACGGCTGCCCCACCCTTCAAACCGAACCGCATTACTGCTTCACGGCAGAAATAGACAGGGTGGTGGTACCTACTCGTGCGGGCTCACAAGACGTCCTACCAG